GGGACAGTTTTCCACGCTTTCACGTGTTTTTAATAAAATTTAAAAAAAAAATAGTAATATATGAATAAATAAATGTAAAATAAATGCCCAAATAAATAAAAAATCATGATAAATAAATAGTAATTAACCCCTAACCTTAACCACTTGCCCTCCAAAGGATTTACCCCCCTTCCTGACCAGGCCTTTTTTTTGCTATACAGCGCTGCACTAGTTTAACTGACAATTGTGCAGTCATGCAATACTGTACATAAATGAAATTTATGTCCTTTTTTTCACACAAATAGAGCTTTCTTTTGGTGGTATTTGATCACCTCTAGGTTGTTTTCTTGTTAGCTATAAAAAAAAAGACCAAAAGTTTTGAAAAAAAAACAATATTTGCTCATTTCTGTTATAAAAAAATATCCTATAAACTCAAATTTCGCCATAAATTTAGGCCAAAATGTGTTTAGTGAAAAAAATCCCAATAACTGGATATTAATTGGTTTGTGTGAAAGTTATAGCTTCTACAAATGGCGGTATAGATTTTGGAATTCATGCTACTTTTTGTTATATGGTGCTGCGCTAGTTTAACTGACAATTGCGCGGTCATGCAATACTGTACATAAATGAAATTTATGTACTTTTTTCATACAAATAGAGCTTTCTTTTGGTGGTATTTGATCACCTCTGGGTTTTTTTTTGCTCTATAAACAAAAATAGACCTAAAATTTTGAAAAATAACTGTATTTTCTCATTTCTGTCATAAATAATATCCAAAACCTCAAATTTCGCCATAAATTTACGCCAAAATGTATTTTGTTACATGTCTTTGTTAAAAAAACTCCCAATAACTGCATATTAATTGATTTGTGTGCAAGTTATAGCATCTACAAACTAGGGTATAGATACTGGAATTTACACAACTTTTACTTTTCAACTGCCTATCACATTTCTTGAGGTGCTAAAATATCAGGACAGTACAAACACCCCCAAATGACCCCCTTTTGGAAAGTAGACACACTAAGCTATCTGCTGAGAAGCATGTTGCGTCCATGGAAGATTTATTTTTTCCACAGGCTTTTGGAAAATTAAATTTTTTTTTTTTTACACAAAGTTGTCACTTTGATATATTAATCACACATGCCATGGATATATGTGAAATTACACCCCAAAATACATTCTGCTACTTCTACAGAGTATGGGGATACCACATGTGTGGCACTGTTTATATCCCAGCTGCAGGCATCATCCTGGTATAACCACTCAAAGTCTAGTGATGTACCAGTACATCGCTGGTCCATGTTGGGTATATATGCTATGTTCTTTTTTTTTTTTTTTAATGCAGCCTGTGGGCTGAATGAAAAAAAGAGAGAAGAAATCTCTGCCAGAAAAAGTGTGTGGTATGCCCACCATTTGAAAATACCACCATGCATCCACCCACTTCTAATGATGTGCACACATGAATTGTTCTTTTTATGTCGTTCAGCTTGTGGGCTGAATGAAAAAAAAAGAGAACCTAACAGATTCCTCTACTCACATCAATTGATGTGGATGAAGAAATCTCTGCCAAATTTTTTTTTAAAAATACATGTCGCAGCATAGGGGCCATCCACCCACTGGCCACCCCAGGCCCCCATGCTTGGACATATATGCTCTTTTTTAATTGCGGATGAAAAATCTCATCCAACAGTGCTGCACACACTGACTTATGTATACTCTGAGAGCAAGACCCTGTTGCTGTCAGAATAAACAGATCGGTGCTTCAGCTGAATGGCATTTCCTGCAAAGAAAACAGCAATGGTCAACAATAAAACAGTAACAGTAAAACTGCAACAGTATAACAGTAACTTGACAAAAAAAAACTATTTTTTGGTTTTTAAATTTTTTTTTGTGCTTTTTATAGTGTTTTTTTTTTTTACTGTAACAAGCAGATATTAGGGTCTCTTAAAATGCAATTTTCCTGACTACCTAACATCTTTCGAGACCATGTGCAAATATGTGCCCTCAACTGTGCCATGCTGTACCCTAAACTAATACTCCACTAGTGCGTTGTAGCGACGGAAGCAGTCCTTGAGACAGAGACCAGGTTGGCCAGGACAGGAGGGACAAAAAAGCGGGTGTCATCCCTAATTCCATGTCGGCTACAGACACAACATCCTTTTTGGGGTATCCTTTGGGTTGCGGTACCAGAAATGGTATTGGGAAAATGCCTCTCATGCAGCTGGCTAGCTGCATCTGGGTTGGGGGTTTGGGCCACAGCACCTTCTGGATACAAAAGAGCCGTGATGATCTCTTCCTGAAATTTTAGGAAGGATCCACTACGTCCAGTTACTTTGTAAAGCAGAAAAGTATTAGAGCCAATTGAAATAAACAGACACTTTTTTGTCCCAGTGTCTGGCTTTTCGGGAAACTAAGTACAGCTTCATCATCTGGTCGTTGAAGTCCATCCCTCCCATGTTAAGGGTATAGTCATGAAACTGATATGTATAGCCTGTTTCCCTCTCACAGGTCTTATACTTCTGGCAGGCTTGCTGGGGGAGAAATTGTTTGAATGCAAGGCAGCCAGAAAAATGAATGAGGGACTCATCAACACAGATGTTTTGCTGGGGAGTATAGACATCTGCAAATTTTTGGTTAAGGTGATTTACAAGGGGCTGAATTTTGTGGAGCTGGTCAAACTCAGGGTCACCCCAAGGACAACAGAGTGAATTGTCATTGAAATGCATAAATCGCATTATCTTCTCATATCTATGCCTGGCCATGGCAGCACAGAACACGGACATATGATGAATTAGGTCTGTGGACCAATACAACCGCAATTCATTTTTTCTAGTAACGCCCATGTTGAGGGTTAGGCCCAGAAAAACTTTAACTTTGTAAACCATAATAGGTTTCCATACAAACTGTCTGGCAAAGTTTGAATTTGGGTTGGCGGCGATAAATTGTTGTACATATAAATTGCTTTGATCAACAATCACAGATCTTCCGTGAAAAACAGCTCCAAAAAATCAAGGTGAGTAGTTAAATTTGCTGTTTCCACCTGAACTCCGGGTTGTTCAGTGAATGGGGTAAGTACGGGTGCTGCAGAATTTGTGGGCTGCAAATAAGGATGTGCAAGCACATCTGGAAGGACACTACGGGCTCTATGGGCCTGTGTGCGAATTCTTGGTGGCTGCGGGACAATACTTGTGCTCGCCATCACACCAGCTTGTACTGGACTTATGGGACTCACCACGTCACCAAGTGATACTGCAGTGCTGGTATGTGAAAGACCAGGATGTACTAAGTCACTGGTGCTCACCAGTTCACCAAAAGGTAGAGTGGCACTAGTCCTGGCACTCTGCTGCATATGAGAAAATCATCATGCAATTGTAACATCTCAGGAACCTGGAGCGGGGTCAGGTACTCCTAACCTTAGCAGGGACCTCTTTTCCATCGTCTGAGCTATCTCTGTCATCCAATTCAGGCCGAACATCATTGGCCTTAATTGGATGATTAATCCCTTGGGCACTGAATCACGGCACCTGTGGGTCGGTGTGCATGCGCCCCAGGCCTGCGATCACCACGGGAATGCGAATCTCGTATATGTACTTGATTTTACGCACCTGTGCCGCCCTTTAGTAGTGTTTCTGCTATAAGGCTGCGCAGAAGCGGTTAACCCCCAACCCTAAAAAAATATATATTAAATTAATTAATAATAATAAAAAAATAAACACCCAAACAAAAAATACAATAATAATAATACATTATTAGAAACAATATAAATAAGCTGGAAATCACAGCCTATATCTCCACGCTAAAGTGGTGAAAGTGTCACACAAATATTAAATGGTAAAACTAAGCAGCTGTTTTAAATAACTAATAAATCAATATACAGTGACTAGAAAGATTCACATAAACAGCCCTCTGTCTTAATAAATGATTCTAAAGATAGGAATCTAACATAAAACAATATCCAATCAAAAACAATTAAAAAGGAAATACTAAAGAAACTTCCACCAAAATAAAAAATGTGAAAAAGTTCAGTTCATTTCAGTAATGTGACATCTCTTTAAGGTGGCATTGATCCACCATCTATGTGATTCTGCAGTGATTATCACCCCATTGAATTCAACACTCTCCAGAAGCTGGTGAATAACCAGCAGTGGAAACTCAGTAGAAAATCAATCGCATTAATGCTGAATGGTTGTGAAAACAACAATTGGATCATCAGTCAGCAACCCAAAACAACCTCCAATCAATGGATTATTAATCGTTCATACTCTGATCTCATCATCCCGATTAGATGATATCAATCCATATATGGGCAAAATAAAACAGCCACATAGTGTGATACCGTAAACACATTTATTGCCTTAAACGACCCCCCCTTTTAAAATGCACTCACATTGAGTAAAAAAGTAATGCACATTGTAAGCAAGCACTTCCAATAAAAATGGCCGACGCTAGTACGACTGGCGACAGTCTCACCACACACTGGTTCCTATGGATTCCCAGCAACAGCAGTCACGTGATCGCACCACATGGTCCCGGCATGCATGCTGATGTCACAGATGGTCACGTTTTGGCGCGTTTTGTCATTCTGACTTCCTCTGTATATTTGTTTTAAATAATACATTATTGTTATTATCATTTTACCTTTTTTAAGTGTAGGGGATAATTATTATTTGATTACATAGTATTTACCGTATTTTCCGGCAAATAAGACAACTTTTTTTACTTAAAAACATACCCCAACAATTGGGGGTCGTCTTATACGCCGGGTATAGAACCGCTGGATGTGCGGTAATACTGTACGGTAGCTTCAGCTACATACAGTGTACCGCGCTGAGCCAATCACGGCGAGCAATGTATTCTATTAATGAATACAGAGCCTGCTCGGATTGGCTGAAGTTTGTGACATCATCAGCCCGCCTCTCTGACGCAGCCAATCCAAGCAGGCTCTGTATTCATTAATAGAATACATCACTTGCCGTGATTGGCTCATATGACGTCCTCCCATTCTCCAAGCATGCGCGGCGATGCGCTGTGTCCCTCGGACACAGCGGATCACCGATCACGGAAAGAGCCGAAGATGTCGGCTTGGTCATGTGATCAGCTGTGTCCAATCACAGCTGATCACATGTAAACAGGGAAATGCCGGTTATCGGCATTTCTCTCGTCTCGAGCTGTCACGCTAACAGAGGAGAGCCGGTAATCGGCTTTCCGCGGAGGGGACGTGTACACGGATCATCAGGGCACTGATGATCAGTGTGCCCTGATGATCAGTGTAGCCCCAGCAGTGCCAGCTGTCAGTGTTCATCAGTGCCACAACAATGCCACATATCAGTGCCTACCAGTGCACATCAATGCCACATATCAGTGCCCATCTGAGCTGCCTTCAGTGTCACCCATCAGTGCCAGTCAGTGCCACCTCTCAATGGCAATCAGTGCCACCTATCAGTGCTGCCAATCAGTGCCACCTATTAGTGCCAGTCAGTGCCGCCTATCAGTACCATGTATCAATGCTACCTTTCAGTGCCCATCAGTGATGCCTGTCAATGCCCATCAGTGCCACCTATCAGTGCTGCCAATCAGTGCCAGTCAGTGCCACATATCAGTGCCAATCGGTGCCAGTCAGTGCCGCCTATCAGTGCCATGTATCAGTGCTGCCTTTCAGTGCCCATCAGTGATGCCTGTCAATGACCATCAGTGCCACCTACCAGTGCCTCCTCATCAGTGCCCATCAGTGCCACCTATTTCATATGGGTACAGTGTTGCATGACCACGCAATGCAACACTGCGCGGTTCATTCTGGGCTTGCCGGTGGGGATGGTAAGGCCTGGAGCAGCATCTGGGGGGCGGGGGGCCATGTGATCCCTCCTGCCAACTGTAAAAGCCATCTAGCAGCTAATTAGCCACTCAGTTGATTTTTACATACATGTACATGATTTGGCATCCAGTGGTTAGGATTGAATTCAAACAAACTTAGTCAATCAGCCAGAGTGGAGAATTAAATTATCGATTATTTTGAATCAATCAGTAGCACTGAGATTTAGTCATAAATTCAGATTTCATTCAATCAGATTATAAGAATGCTGGGTGTAAACCGAGATATGATCGATATTTTGTAGCTGAATCGTCCCATCTATCAATCTAATTCTGTTTCCTAATATGTGGCATGTCAATCCACTGGATTGTTATCTATAGATCGAAAATTACTATTGGGAGAGATCAGTCAGAAAAGAAATCAGTCATTTATTGAAGTGTGTATGGCCACCATAAACCCAAACATTTATGATATGATCACATCTATCTGTGTCCTTGTTTGTCTGTTTTTTTGGTGCATTTTTTAACATATGCATGAAAATACTGGATGTGTCTAATTTTTCAAACTGCAGAGCACCAAACCACAGATATTTCAACAATCTTATTGAATAACATTGCTTCTTATGAGACATACATTGTTTTGCTTTACAACACACATGATAAATTGTGAAGGTGTAAATGGGACTTTAGGCCTGGTTCACATCTGTTAGTGTCTGCTCGTCTGTTTATTTGTCTGTTTTTTGTTTTTTTTTGTAACCGCTTTCCAGTACATTGCGGGCGGGCAGTAGATGCAGGCAAAGTGACGTACCCATACTTCGCTTTGCTCTTCCAGGTTTAGAGCGTGCATGCGTGCGCCCCCATGCTGAACCCCGCTGTCAAACATTGAAGGAGGTGTACAGTATGTCAGTAGGTCTCAGCCAGTAATTTTGGCTGGGACTCTGCTGATCTCCTACAGCGAATGGAGATGCAGAGCTGTGCCTGTATGTGTAAATACAGGCACAGGATCTAGCTGGTTCTTCTCTCCCTGGAACCATTTTGTTCCAAAGAGAGAAGAAAGACATCACATGTAAGTAAAAGCAGCACACTGCACCCACACACGTTAGATATAGACATTTTAACCCCTTGATTGCCACATTTAACCCTTTGATTGCCCCCTTCCACCCTGCCAGTGCCATTAGTACAGTGTCAGTGTACATTATTTTTCACTGATCACTGTTTTAGTGCCACTAGCGACATCAGATATCAGTTAGCGTCCCTTCCAGCCAGGGTCAGCTAGTGTTAGATTGCCCACACATTATGGCACTCACGCCATAGGTCGCTGATCATTGTCATTACTAGTATAGTGTTTGTACGGAACAATATATTGATCATGAACAAAACTATACCAATGCCCCCTTAGTATTAGTGTCCCCAAAAATGCAGTGTTAGCAGGATCATCCCCGTTCGCTGCCAGCACTAGCGTTTAGCCCCAACGCTCCCCCCCACCCCTAACAAGAAGTGCAGTATCAGTATAATTTCTGATCACTGTCACCTGTAATACATTGCACATAAAACCACAGTGTTCACAGAATCAGGCCTAATCTCTGTTAGCACTTGCCGGTAATTTTTTTGGTAGCAGTTCAAGCAGTCCCTGACAGCCAGGTGCTCTTTATCCCCGTGAATCGCAATAGGTACCTGTAAATTTAGAGTCCAAAATGTCCAATGAAAGGTACGAAGAGACCTACAGGATTTTGAACATGTCAGATGAGAGCGAAGGGGAAGACTCCCTGACACAATCAGTCTCAGAATACGAACCTGTAGACAGCAGCGGCACCTTGACAGGTAGCTCGGAAGATGGAGAAGAGGTCCCTGTTAAGATCAGGCATACCCAACCCCATGAAGCTGAAGTGCTAGGATCGCATGACTTGTCTCATATGCAGCAGAGTGCCAGTACTAGTGCCGCACAACCCTTTGGTGAACTGGCGAGCACCAACGGCCTAGTATATCCTGATCTTTTTTATACCAGCACTGCAGTATCACTTGGTGACGTAGCGAGTCCCATTAGTGCAGTACAAGCTGGTGCGATGGCGAGCACAAGTAGTGTCCTGCAGCCACCAAGAATTCGCACACAGGCCTGTAGAGCCCCTAGTGTCCTTCTGGACGAGCTTGCCTGAACATGACAGGCTGTACAAAATTCAGCCCCTCATAAACCACCTCACTGAGAAATTTGCAGATGTGTGGAAGGACAAATGGGATGTTTTCATCCTGTATTCACGCAGAAGGGACAGTCCAAATTAACACAGTATCTGGCGTTGTTGAGAAACCCCTCTGTCCACGACTATAACTGTAACATGGGAGGGGTAGACTTCAACAACCAAATGATGAATCCGTACCTAGTTTCTCAGAAAAAGGTATCTATTTATTTATTTTAATTGGCTGTATATAACCATTTTGTAATTTACAAAGCAACTGGACAAAGTGGATCCTTTCTAAAATCCAGGAAGAGATCATCTCGGCCCTTTTGTATCCAGAAGGTGTTGTGGCCCAATCCTCAAATCCAGATGCAGTTAGCCGGCTGCATGAGAGGCATTTTCCGAATTTCTTCTCTGGTACTCCAACCCAAAGGACACCCCAATGAAGATGTCGTGTCTGTAGCAGACACGGAATAAGACTCGACACCCGCTTTTTTTGTCCCTCTTGTCCTGGCTAACCTGATTTCTGCCACAAGGACTGCTTCCGTCGCTACCATACACTAGTGGAGTATTAGTATAGGGTACAGCACTTCATAGTTCAGGGCACATATTTACACAGAGTCTCGGAAGATGTTAGGTAGTTAGGAAACTGGCTATCACATTTCGAGAGACCATACAATCTGTTTTAAAAAGTTAAAATTTAAAAAAAATGTAAATAAAAAATAAAAAGTTCAAGTCCCCCCCAAAATTTTTTTTTTAAATAGTTATAGTTTTTTTTGTTGTTGTCATTGTTACTGTTTTACTGTTATGATTTTACTGGTTTATTGTTAATCATTGCTGTTTTCTTTGCAGGAATGTCATTCAGCTGCAGCACCAACCTGTTTCTTCTGACAGCAACAGGAATTTGCTCTCAGAATTTACATATGTCAGTGTGGGCAGCTCTGTTGGATGAGATTTGTCATCCGCAGTTACAAAAAGAGCATATATGCTGATGCCTGGGGTGGCCAGTGGGTGGATGGCCCCTATGCTTCGGCATATACATTTTATAATATTTTTTGGCACATTTCACATGTGTCCACCATTAGAAGTGGGTGAATGCAGGGAGGTATATTCTAATGGCAGGCATGCCACACACTTTTTCTGGCAGAGACTTCTCTTTATTTCATTCAGCCAACAGGCTGCATAAAAAGAACATAGCATGCACGCCCAACAAGGACCAGCGACGTACTGGTATATCACTGGACTTTGAGTGGTTATGCCAGGATGATGCCTGCAGCTGCACGGCTCATTCTGGTATCATTTTTTTCAGCCAGTGATCGGCTTTCATGTAAAAGCAATCCTAGTGGCTAGTTAACTGCAGGATTGCTTTTACAAGCAGCAGGAAAAGATGCCCCCCTCCCCCTCCCCCGCTGCCTTCCAGGGCCTTTTCAGACAGTCCCATGCCATTGGGGGAACCTGAGAATGCAGCCAGTGTTTCTGCCAGCTGATCATAGAGCTGATTGGAGACCGGAATGGTGCCAATCATCTCTATAGTCTAAGAAATCGGAAGCTACGAGCATTTCATCACTTCAGTTTCACAGGATATAAACAGCGCCATTTGTAATTCGGGAAAGCATCTGATCACACCAATCTTGGTGAGATTAGATAATGTAAGTGCAAAGGAGACATCTAGAGTCTGATAGACCCCAGATTTCTCAAAAAAGAATATATGACAATGCCCATTGAAGTTATAGGGGGTATTTATATTCCCTGTGATAGCATTAAAAGTGATCAAAAGAGAAAAGAAAGGGACAGTGTAAAAATAATTACAAAAATCAAATTAACTTAAAAAAAAAAAAAGCACCCTCGCCCACCCCCCCCGCATGCGTGAACATGCGTGCGCGAGAGTTGACCCTGTGCCAGTATGTAAACAGTGGTTGCACCATGCATTTGAGGTATCGCCACGAACGTCAGATCAAGGGCAGTAATTCTAACACTGGACCTCCTCTGTAAATCTAAAATGGTATCTTGTAAAGGCTTTTAAACCGTTTCCTATGGATATTAAAAATGTATGCAGTTTGTCGCCATTGCACGGGGCATGCGCAGTTTTAAAGCATGTCATGTTTGGTATCTATTTACTCGGCATACCATCATCTTTTATACTGTACCAAATAATTGACCAATATATTGCGTTTTTGTGCATTAAAAGTAAAAAGAAAGTGTATTTTTGTTTTAAAAATTGCGTTTGAAAAATCGCTGCACTAGTGCTATGTTACATAAATAACTTCAGCACCCACTATTTTATTCACTAAGGTGTCTGCATTAAAAATATATGATGTTTGGGGGGTTCAAAGTAATTTCCTAGCAAACAATACCGATTTTTTTTTTTCATGTGAACAAAAAGTGTCAGAAAAGGCTTGGTTTTCAGGTGGTTAGAAGAGTGAGTTATGCGTGGCATAAACTTGTAATGCTGGGCATAAAATGCCCCCCCCCCCCAAAACGACCCCTTTTTGGAAAGTAGACACACCAAACTATTTGCTGAGAAGCATGTTGAGTCAATAGAAGACTTAATTTTTTTACCACAAGTTTTTGGAAAATGACAAAAAATTGTCACTTTAATAATTTATTGCTCACATATGCCATGGGTATATGTGGAATTACTTCCTAAAATACATTCTGTTACTTGTCCCTAGTATGGGGATACCTCATGTGAGATACTTTTTGGCAGTCTAGCCAAGTACAGGGCCTCTGAAACTGTGATAGGTATTGAGGAAGTGAATTGAGGAAGTTACGCACCTTCAGGCTTTCAAAGTGGTCATTGGATTTCAGGCTCCTGTATGTGGCTAGGCTCCCAAAAAGTCTCACACGTGGTATCCCCATACTTGGTAGAAGTAGCAGAATGTATTTTGGGGTGTAATTCCACATATACCCATGGCTTGTGTGAGAAATATATCATTTAAGAGACAACTTTATGTAAAAACAAACATTTTTTGTCATTTTCCAAACACTTTTGGGAAAAAAATAAATCTTCCGTGGACTCAACATGCCTCTCAGCAGATAGCTTAGGGTGTCTACTTTCCGAAAAGGGGTCATTTGGGGTGTTTGCACCGTCCTGGTATTTTAGCACCTCAAGAAATGTGATAGGCAGTCAGAAAGTAAAAGCGGTGTAAATTCCATTATCTATACCATAGTTTGTAGATGCTATAACTTTTACACAAAGCAATCGATATACACTTATTGGGATTTTTTTTTTACCAAAAACATGTAGCAGAATACATTTTGGCCTAAATTTGAGTTTTTTGGATATTTTTTTATGACAGAAATGAGAAAATATCCTTTTTTTTTCAAAATTTTTGGTCTTTTTTTGTTTATAGCAGGAAAAATAAAAAAGTACACAGGTGATCAAATACCACCAAAAGAAAGCTATATTTGTGTGAAAAAAAGGACATAAATTTAATCTATGTACAGTATTGCAAGACCATGCAGTTGTCAGTTAAACTAGTGCAGCGCTCTATAGCAAAAAATGGCATAAATTGCAGTATCTATACCATAGTTTGTAGATGCTATAACTTTCACACAAAGCAATCAATATACATTTATTGGGATTTATTTACCAAAAACATGTAGCAGAATATATTTTGGCCTAAATTTATGACTTTGTGTTTACTATATATTTTTTATAGCCGAAAAGTAAAAAAAATCTTTTTTTTTCCAAATTTTCGGTCTTTTTTTGTTTATAGTGCAAAAAATAAAAAAGTGCACAGGTGATAAAAACCACCGAAAGAAAGCTCTATTTGTGTGAAAAAAAAGGACATAAATTTTGTTTTGGTACAGCATTGCCTGACCGCGCAATTACCAGTTGAAATAGTGCAGCGCTGTATAGCAAAAAGAGGCCTGGTCAGGAAGGGGGGTAATCCTAAGGAGGGCAACTGGTTAATGTACATTTTAGTGCAGTTTCATTATCCTGTTGGAAATCACAGCGGATGAAAATGCACAAAAAAAGAGGACATGTCTCATTTTTAAAACTGCACCACACCGCATTGCCCTGCGCAGGCTCACTGAATAACATTGCTTCTTATGACACATATTTATAAAGCACAGGTGTGATCAGGACCTTATGCAGGCCATCGATGGGTCGAAAATCGGCCGATTTTTCTTTAAAAAAACGAAAAATCGGTCGTTCAAGCGGCCGATGTTACCAGCAACGGTAAAAAAAAAAAATCGGACGATTTTCATCCTGCCTACAGCCGGCAAAAAGTGTCCCTGCAGAGAGCTCCGCTATTTCTTTGACAGTTCCTTGACATTTATAGCGGTTGCAACAATGTATTTGTATCCATTTAGGATACAGATGTTTTTATTCAGAAACAAATAGATACATTGTTGCAACCTCTGTAAATGTCAGGGAACTGTCAAAGAAATAGCGGAGCTCTCTGCAGGGAGATTTTTTGCCGGACTGGAGTTCCTCTTCTTCTTCATCCTCTTCTTCTTCTTCCTCTTCTTCTTCTTCTCTTCTTCTTCATCCTCTTCTTCATCTTCCTCTTCTTCCTCTTCTTCATCTTCCTCTTCTTCCTCTTCTTCTTCATCCTCTTCTTCATCTTCTTCATCCTCTTCTTCATCATCCTCTTCTTCATCCCCTTCTTCATCCTCTTCTTCTTCCTATTCTTCTTCTTCCTCCTCTTCTTCTTCATCCTCTTCTTTATCCTCTTCTTTTTCTTCTTCATCCTCTTCTTCTTCATCTTCTTCTTCATCCTCTTCTTCTTCATCCTCTTCTTTTTCATCCTCTTCTTCTTCTTCCTCTTCTTCATCCTCTTCTTCTTCTTCCTCTTCTTCCTCTTCCTCTTCTTCGTCCTCTTCTTCGTCCTCTTCTTCTTCATCCTCTTCTTCATCTTCTTCATCCTCCTCTTCTTCTTCTTCCTCTTCTTCATCCTCTTCTTCATCCTCTTCTTCTTCTTCCTCTTCTTCATCCTCTTCTTCTTCTTCTTCTCCTCCTCCTCTTCTTCCTTCTTCTTTCTTCTTCTTCCTCTTCTTCTTCCTCTTCTTCATCCTCTTCCTCTTCTTCATCCTCTTCTTCTTCTTCCTCCTCTTCTCCTTCTTCTTCTTCCTCTTCTTCATCTTCTCTTCTTCTTTCTATTCTTCTTCTTCCTATTCTTCTTCTTCCTCCTCTTCTTCATCCTCTTCTTCACCCTCTTCTTCTTCTTCATCCTCTTCTTCCTATTCTTCTTCTTCCTCTTCTTCATCCTCTTCTTCTTCCTCTTCTTCTTCTTCTTGTCCTTCTTCTTCTTCATCCTCTTCTTCTTTTTTCTTCTGCTTTTTGTCTTCCTCTTGCAGGTCACTGCTCATGCGCAGATTTTTTTATCGGTAAAAAGATCGGCCGATTTGCCCATCATTGCCGCGAAAATCGGCAGATCGGCAAAATCGGCCGATTTTTTTCCAACTTTACCGATAAAAAAAATCTGCCAAAATACCGAAAATACCAAACATTTAGCCCACTAACGATCCGAAAATCGGCCGATTTTATTTTCTGCCTAAAAATTGGCCGATTTTTGACCCATCTATGGCCTGCATTAGAGCTTGTTCATGCCAGCCCACACCCAAAAGCACCTGTGCACTGTTGTACATTGTGTAGGGTAGTGCAATAGTTTCTGTTTACTTTTTTTCTCTCTTTTGTAATTTTTATTGAAGTGTTACTTAATTCTGTGCACTGACATCTGTTGCAAAAAATGCAGCAAATCTGCAATTTTAAAGTGTTAGTTCACCTTTACCAGAAGCCTGCCTAGGTGTGTATGTGGATAATAACAAGCTGTGTGTCCCTTGCTATAGGTGTAGGCCATTTATGTACCTCATGAATCCTGACTGGAATACTCCTAGGTAACTGAGGCCTAGTCATTACTGCTCACCTTTCCACCATCACAGGAGTGAGCTTTTTCTTTGATTCAAACCCCCTCACATGCTCTTTCTCTCCAGTATGCAGTACCTTTGAACTCAGCATCTGAGAGCTCACTCCTTTGATGATGGTGGTGAGCAGTAATGACTAGGCCTCACCTAGCAATGTCCTGGCAGTTTTCCAGCCAGTCTTCAGGGGGTATGTAAATAGCCTACACCTATAGCAAGGGCATTATTCAACTATAGTCAGAGCTGCACAGTTTGTTTTTATCTACAGACACCCGTTATCTGCTTAGGCAGCTTTTTGGTGAAAGTGAACTCTCCCGTTAACCACTTGCCCTCCTGAGGATTTACCCCCTTCCTGACCCGGCCATTGTTTGCATTACGGCTCTGCGTTACTTTAACTGACAATTGCGCGGTCATGCAATGCTGCACCCAAATTAACTTTACATCCTTTTTTTCCCACGGATTGAGCTTTCTTTTGGTAGTATTTGATTGCCTGTGTGTTTCTTATTTTTTGCGCTATAAAAAAAAAGACCGACAATTTTGAGAACAAACTATATTTTTGACATTTTGCTAATAAACATTTCCAGTAAAAAAAAATTTAAAAATCAAATTTTGTCATAAATGTAGGCCAAAATGTATTCTGCTACATGTCTTTGCTAAAACAAATCCCGATACGTGTAAATTATTTGGTTTACGTGAAAGTTATAGCATTTACAAATGGCGGTATAGATACTGGAATGCTTTTTTTTTTTTTACTAGTAATGACGGCGATTAGTAAACAAAACAGTCCTCCTCCCCATCGGAGATCCTCGGTAATCACCAAGCAGGGTGAGTAATAATCGGCCAGGACCCGATGATTGACAGTCGAGGCCGCGAATGGTGGCGTGTGCCCTCTACCCGGAAATGCAAAATCACGTGATCTTGCGCATCTGTGCCGGCCTGTAACATAATTTCTGCTATAGGGTGGTCAGGAAGCTGTTAAAAGGAGAACTAAAGGGAGGTTATTCACCTTCCTTACGCTCCCTCTCCGACGCTGGCATCTTCTCTGTGTGTAGGGTTGTGGAATGCACAGCTCAGTTAATAGTCCGTATCACTGTGTGCAGACATGTTTATTGCAGAAGAGACATTGCATATCACAGTTGCCATAAAATGTCTGCCTGCTCACCATGTATCATAGCTGAACTTTAGTTACACTGTAACCCACATCAATGCAGTGTGTGAATAGGGCACACAGAAAACCATATATTCCATTCTATCCCATGGTCTTGTATGTGGTCTCTTACCAATTCCTAAAATATCTTCCATGCCAAAGAGGGTAAACTTACATGTCTGTAGTTACTGTGCAAATACCTTGATCCCTACATAAATATAGGCACCACATTTGGTTTGCACTACTCCATTGGTATCCATCCAGTTATAAAAAAGTCTAATAATAAAGAACAATGGCTTAGAAAAACTGAGCTCAGCTCTTTGACAACTTGTGGGTATAAGCTGGCTGTCTCAGGTTCTTTATCTACATTTTTTTCACTAATTGTTTCTGGACTATATCAACTTTAAACCACAGTGGTGCCTTTGAAATTATTTCAAAGTGCCCAGTGACCCAACCTCAAGTTCCTATTCTTTAGAGGTCCTACATGCTTAGACTTTGGGGGTATTTACTAAAACTGGTGAGTGCAAAATCTTGGGCAGGTTTGCTTAGAAACCAATCAGCTTCCAGGTATTATTATAAAAGCTTAATTAACCATTTGCCCTCCAGAGGGTTTACCCCCCTTCCTGACCGAGCCATTTTTTGCGATACGGCTCTGCGTTACTTTAACTGATAATTGTGCGCTCATGCATCGCTGCACTCAAATTATATTTGTGTCTTTTTTCCCACAAATAGAGCTTTCTTTCGGTGGTATTTGATTGCCTGTGCAGTTTTTATTTTTTGCACTAAAAAAAACCCAGCCAATTTTGAGAGAAAAAACTATATATTTGCTATGCAGAGCCATACAAAGCAATGTGCAGGAGCTGACATAGGAGAGATATGTATCTTATACATACAGGTCTCTCCCCCGTCCGTGATACTCGGTGATTGCCGAGTGCCAGCGGGGAATTCCACTTACTGTGGACTGTATATTTATTATATCTTGTTTCGACAAGGAGGCTACTATCTGTGGATATATAGGACTGCAATATAACTACATCATTTGCGCCTTATTGATCCATTGCTCCTGAACCTATTACAACTATCATTGTCCTTACTATTAATCAGGAACATTTATTGGAGTTTAGGTTACTACACCCCACCCGATATACATACAATTGGTAATACTTACTTTTATTATTTACAGTCACATGTGGCAAGTGCCACGGTATATCCCATTGTATGGTTATAATTGGCATCCGGACATCGTCAATTTGTATATTTGTTTGTTTTGTCTTGTCTTTTTGCCTGCATTATATGTATGTCTACATGTGTTTTAAGCTAGTCGATACTTGTTATTCACTGGTAATTGTAAATAGGTTTTTCACAAGTGATTTGTAAGATTTTTTTTATTAAGAATTATACCAATAAAGTGTAACAATTTTTAATACCAGTCCTTACGTTTTGCCTTCATAAATAATCACTATATCCCCTCTATGGGGATGATTTTTTGTGATGGCTTTATGAGTTACAAAGAAAGCACCTAATTTTAGGTTAAGGTATACTGGGTTACTAGCTCTTTATTACCCTCTTATTGGGTTCTTGTTAATACTATTAATACATGCATATATAGGTGTGTGTGTATAAACACAGTAAACATATATATGTTTATATGAACCATCATTTGTCCAAAGGCCAGGCGGGAGCTCTCCCTTTCTGGTTGACATATGATGTCCTCCCAGGATTGCACCTCGCGGACGGCTCACACCTGCTGTGTCTGATGACAGATCAGTGTATGTTACCATGTTGTCACTGTGACCAATCACAGCAGATCACATGACAATTATACACAATGGATGACTTTCATTCATACCATTCATTATGTACTATTGTGTTGATCTGTATGATTGGTCACAGTAATCACATAGTACAGACAGGGCCAATCACAGTCCATCTGTACTATGTGATTAGCTGTGGCCAATCACAGAGATCAAAACAATAGTACATACTGGATTGAATGGATTTTATTCAGAAAAAATGGTTGCTTATAACATTGATATTCACTGTTATAGGCAAACATAGTATGTAAAGAAAAAAAAAAAGGAAAAATATCCTGATCACCTCCCCAGAGTTACTATGTTAACACTGTTTTGCTTTGGTCACAGTATGTTTAAAAAAAAATAAGTATTTTAAAAAAGAAAAAAAAATGTAATTAAAAATAATATATTTAAAAAACATTATAATGTTTTTTTTTTTTTTTACCAGTCAGTGTCCCTGATCACTGCCAGACCATATATATGATGACACTGTACTGCAGTGGTGACAGTATATAGAAAATATACATCTCTTCACTTTTCACAAAATCGTGACAAAAAAAAATTACAACTTCAAAAAACTTGCCATGCTAAATACCTTGGACTGTCTGCTTTCCAAAAAGGGGTCATTTGGGAGATATTTGTACTGTCCTGGCATTTTAGGGCCTCAAAAATTGGGATTGGCTGTCACTACATCAGTTTTCAGATATATACTATAATTTGTACACTCTATAACTTTCCTACAGACTACATAATAAACACTGATTTGGATTATTTTCACCAAAAACATTTAGCAGAATACATTTTGGCCTAAATTTATGAGGAAATATTATTTATTTACAAAATTGTATAACAGAATCAATGGAAAAAATATTTTCGGTCTTTTTTCGTATATTTAACAAAAAAAAAAAACCTAGTGGTGATTAAATACCACTGAAAAAAACCCTCTATTACTTCACTTTTATATATAACCCCTATAGCCTTTCCTTTAAATAATAGCTGTATGTTTCTGGTATGGAGAAACAGATGTTTTCAGAAGTATTTAAAAAAAAATATTAAAAAACAAGCAAACAAAGGAAGATAAATATGGGGGATGTCAGTGCAGTCCTCCATCTGAAAAATGTAGATACCTGCCTGTACCTGACTTTGGCATGTTTCAGTCACAGCACTGGAACAAGCATGCTGCAAATGAGTGTCAGAAAAGCATCAGAACTACTTATTACTATTCATCTGGGCCACCAACTCAGACAACATAGAAGTCAAAGCATCTATTTGACAGCCAAGAGCTAGTGTTCTCAAAGGAGAGTTCAGTAATGGCAGCCTCTAATAAATTCTCATGACAGTATACCTTTACCTTTGATACCTGTTTAAAAAGTACATATACGTCGCACTATAAATATATTGTATCCACATGAAAAAAACTAATTTTTTTCTTTTTTTTGTGGAAGCTTCACAAGATGGAAAAACAAAGGGAGTTCAGAAAAATAGGAAAAGCAAATGCAAGAGAAAGAGGCTTAGGAGCAATGAATCTGGAGGAAACCTGCTAAGTGAGATGCCTTTTGTAAATGCAGATATCAGTGCCGTTTTTGAAAGTAAGTATATCATGTTATTTACAATATTTTTTTCCACTCAGAACAAGTGTGAGAATATAATGTAAATTGTGAACTTTATGTTGCCACAAATTATTAGTTCAGCAGTAGAGCTGTGGAAAAAGCAAATGGAATCTAGTTTACTTGAAACTGGCAGCAGTAGATCCTATGTAGCAAAGTCTCATGAACACCTCTCTTCAGAGTTTTTTCTGATAGGCTTGTGAACACAGATGGTGCCAAATGGAAGAGATGTTTCTGATTTTTGTTTAGTTCTGAGCTGCCTTCCTGACTGTGGGCCTAATAAAGCAAGATCCTAAACATTTTTTAAAAAGTCATAAAAATGTTGTAACCCTCACCTTTTTTATTTAAACAACTATTTTTTAGCTCTTTCACAAGGTCAGCTGGAAAGCAGTAAAAACAGGCAGTTGAGCTGCAGTTTTACCAAACTCCAGGCTGCCCACCCAAATTCTAACATTGCAACTTGACAAGGCACATGGTGCGGCCAGAATGCTTTGTTTCTCTGTTGTGGCATTTTTAACTCAGGTTGCAGCTGTGCACCATCTGGTAAACTTACCTATTGAGATCCATGGGGCTGCTTTGCAACTGGGAGCCAAAGGCTCATCCCTTAGTTAGGATGTGGTCCTGCAATGTAAAATTGCTATTCGGCAAAGCAGGCATCGGGAGGTGGCAGTGGGGGCCTCCTGAACATCTGTCAGCTGCTGCTATACTGCCCTCTGAAAAGTGTTCCACTGCAGCTTTTCATAAGGTGGTAAACATAGCCGTAAGTGTGAAAGACCTTTCAGAGGACTTTCTGGTCCTCTGAAATCTCTTTGGTTTGGCTGTACTGCACATTAGCATAATTCTTTTGTGGAGAACAAGTAACCACAGTCATATCAATTTCTGAAAGTAGCAGGGCAGTTCAGACCCATCCTTATATTGATTGGAATGCAGGACTTATTTAGTATTTTTTTATGTGTGCTTACTTTTTCATTTGTGGCAACACTTGTTATGAATGAATAGTTTCACAAAGTCGAAGTCAAAGACTAGTGGACAGTTACAGTATCTCACAGAAGTGAGTACACGCATCACATTTTTGTAAATATTTTATTATATCTTTAAATGTGACAACACTGAAGAAATGACACTTTGCTACAATGTAAAGTAGTGAGTGTACAGCTTGTTTAACAGTGTAAATTTGCTGTCCCCTCAAAGTAACTAAACACACAGTCATTAATGTCTAAACCGCTGGCAACAAAAGTGAGTACACCCCTAAGTGCAAATGTCCAAATTAAGCCCAAAGTGTCAATATTTTGTGTGGCCACCATTATTTTCCAGCACTGCCTTAACCCTCTTGGGCATGGAGTTCACCAGAGCTTTGCAGGTGGCCACTGGAGCACTCTTCCACTCTTCCATGACGACATCATGGAGCTGGTGGATGTTAGAGACCTTTCACTCTTCCACCCTCTGTTTGATGATACCCCACAGATGCTCAATAGGGTTTAGATCTGGAGACATGCTTGGCCAGTCCATCACCTTTACCTTCAGCTTCTTTAGCAAGGCAGTGGTCATCTTGGAGGTGTGTTTGGGGTCGCTATCATGTTGGAATACTGCCCTGCGGCCCAGTCTCCAAAGGGAAGGGATCATGCTCTGCTTCAGTATGTCACAGTACATGTTGGCATTCATGGTTCCCTCAATGAACTGTAGCTCCCCAGTGCCGGCAGCGCTCAGCAGCCCCAAACCATGACACTCCCACCAGCATGCTTGACTGTAGGCCAGACACACTTGTCTTTGTACTCCTCACCTTGTTGCTGCCACACACGCTTGACACCATATGAACCAAATAAGTTTATCTTGGTCTCATCAGACCACAGGACATGGTTCCAATAATCCAAATCTTTAGTCTGCTTGTCTTCAGCAAACTGTTTGCAGGCTTTCTTATGCATTATCTTTAAAAGAAGCTTCCTTCTGGGACGACAGCCATGCAGACCAATTTGATGCAGTGTGCAGCGTATGGTCTGAGCACTGACAGGCTGACCCCCCCCCCCCCTTCAACCTCTGCAGCAATGCTGGCAGTACTCATACGTCTATTTCCCAAAGACAACCTCTGGATATGATGCTGAGCATGTGCACTCAACTTCTTTGGTCGACCATGGCGAGGCCTGTTCTGAGTAGAACCTGTGCTGTTAAACCGCTGTATGGTCTTGGCCACCGTGCTGCAGCTCAGTTTCAGGGTCTTGGCAAACTTATTATAGCCTAGGCCATTCAATTATGTAGAGCAACAATTCTTTTTTTAAGATCCTCAGAGAGTTCTTTGCCATGAGGTGCCATGTTGAACTTCCAGTGACCAGCATGAGACAGTGAGAGTGATAACACCAAATTTAACACACCTGCTCCCCATTCACACCTGAGACCTTGTAACACTAACGTGTCGCATGAAATCGGGGAGGGAAAATGGCTAATTGGGCCCAATTTGGATATTTGCACTTAGGGGTGTACTCACTTTTGTTGCCAGCGGTTCAGACATTAATGGCTGTGTGTTGAGTTATTTTGAGGGGACAGGAAATTTACACTGTTATTCAATCTGTACACTCACTACTTTACTTTGTAGCAAAGTGTCATTTCTTCAGTGTTGTCACATGAAAAGATATAATAAAATATTTACAAAAATGTGAGGGGTGTATTCATTTCTGGGAGATACTGTATGCTAAATGCCTACAAGATGCAATTCCTGCTAAAGGAGGAAATACCAGTATCTGAGGTCAAGGCTCTGCTCAACATCTCCACAGAACACCATTACGTCCATTGATTTTTTTTTTAATAAATGAATAAAAGGTACATTTTCTTTCTGTTTTCTTAAGCATCACCTTTATCTGTAGGAAAGTTTAAAGTGACATTAAAGGCATTTGTAAAAAAAATAACAAACATATCATACTTACCTGCTCTCTGCAATAGTTTTGCAATAGTCTCTGCAATAGTCAGAGCAGCCCCAATCCTCCTCTTCTCAGGTCCCCTGCCAGTGCTCCTGGCCCCTACCTCCTGCCTAGTGCCTGCCCCGCTGCTCTGTGTGTTCATTCACACATGGAGCATGGCTCAGCCCTGCCCCGCTCTCTCCTCATTGGCTCACTGGTTCGGATTGACAGTAGCGGGAGCCAATGGCTACCACTATCTCAGCCAATGAGGAGGGAGAGACTGGAGAGCCTAGGCTATCATAAGTATCGCTGGGACTCAGGTAAATATTAGGGGGGCTGGGGTGGCTGCTGTACACAGAAGGTTTTTTACCTTCCTGCATAGAATGCAGGAAGGTAAACAAACCTTAAGCCTTTAAAACCACTTTAAGGATATAGTTAAAAAGTGTTATTTTACCAAACGAAATGTGATAGTGTAAATGAGGCCTAGATAATTTACACATGCATGGGATGAACATAGATCTATACAGTCGACAAAAATGTTGAAAAAAAGCTCAGACCACTTTTTGCTGTCTGTCTTCTTTTGTGTTTCATTAAAATCATTTATTTCAGTCACAAGAACAGCAGAGAAGAAGGTGAAAAAGAAAAGAAAAATACATAAGTTAGAAAGTGAAGACGATGATAAAAGTAAACGGCAAAAGAGGGCTAATTATTTTGTATCTCTGCCTATTACAAATTCTAAGGTAATTGTGTTGGTTTGTTATCGTGTTAGCACATTATTATTTTTATACAGGATTGCTAACAGTTTCAGTAGTGCTTTACAGTATAACGGAGACAGTCCAGTCACAATACAGATCAATAAGCAGGATTGGAAGACCCTGCTAGTGGGGACTTTCAATCTAAAATGTGAATGTAAGTGACTTAAAACTGGCTCTTGATTCAAGGTCAGTTTGTGTGTTTTGAGGAAAATTAAAAGTTAGCTCCACTTTTGTGAACAAAAAAAATTAGCAAATGAAAAAATAAATATATATATATATATTAAAGCGTATAGAATTGCAACACAAGTCATATTGTAATTGAATGTTATTAAACACTTGCTGACTGCCCACAATACTTGTACTGCGGAAGGGCAGCATGTACAGGCAGAGTGATGAACCGGTATGTTGCTGTGGCTGTACTGACACAGGTGAACGCAGCTATCGGACACAGCGAAATGCGGATCCCAGTAACCGGGACTCGGTGATCATGTGATCTCAGTGTTAACAAAGCTGTTGTGAATGAATTTCATTCATAATAGCTTTTTTTCTGATCTAGTTAGCTGTGAATGGCTCACATGGTATCACATGGTACCTGGGCCATGTACCATGTAATTAGCTGTAGCCAATCACAGATCACTAGTTTTCTGAACTGTCATGAACTTAACCTTTTCATGACAGTTCATAGCATTGCTGGTGCAAAAAAAAATAAATCCCTGATCATCTCCCAGAGTGGTTCAGTGTTACTATGGTAACATTGAACTACTCTGATGAAAGTATTTTTTAAATAGTAAAAAAAAAAAAAATTATTAAATTAATAAAAAACTGCTTTTTTGTTGTTTTTTTTTTTAACATGCTGTCACCACCAGTCAGTGTCCTTGATTACCGCCACACATGTCATATGATGGCACTGTACTGCATGAAAAAAAAAAATGTATTTAAATACTTGTGCCCGCAAGTACATTGCGGGTGAGCAGTAGCTCTGGGCAAAGCGACATACCTATACTTTGCAATCTATTTCCAGGTGTGAGCGTCCAGGATTCTGCTGATCTTCTGCTGCAAATGGAGAAGCTGGTTCTTTTCTACCTGGACCCTTTTCAGTCCAGGGAGAGAAGAGAGAAAACCACACTGTGCGTAAAAGCACTACATTTTACACACACGTTAGATTAGCACATTTAACCCTTTGATTGCCCTTAATCCTTTGAGTGTCAATATATAGAATTTTTCACTGATCACTGTATTTCTGCCACTAGCGACATCAGATAGTGTCAGGGTCAGTTAGTGCCCCTCCCAGCGAAGGTCAGCTAGCAGATTGCTTGCACACTATCGCACTCACGCTATAGGTCGCTGATCACCACCATTACTAGTATAGTGTCAGGAATGGACTCACCACTGGTGGTGCTGTGGCTCACTTGCTCTGTGGGCTGCAGTGCCAGCTCCTACCAGAGGGTGCTTTCAGCAGCCAGGGTCTCACTCCTGCAATCAAGCCATCACCTGAGGCTGATTGCAGGAGGTCTATTTAAGCAGGACCAGGCCTGCAATCAGTGCCTTGGTGTTTGTTTCCCATGAGCCCCTGTACCTGGCACCCTGTGTTCCTGCTTATCTGCTCTGTTCCTGATATCTGATCCTGTGAATCTTCTGAGGCCGACCTCTGCATTGTTCCTGACCCCGGTGACCGTCTCCTGTTTAACCCCTGGCTTGCCTGACCATCCTTCTGCATGATCCTCTGTTCCGCGCTGCCCGTAAGTTACTGAACCCGGCTTGTGACCCTGACCATTCTCTGCCTGCTCCTCCAGTACCTCGCTGCCCGCACGTTGCTGACCTGGCCTGCCTGACTACGCCTTACGCTACCCAGACGATCCATCCATCCCGCATGGATCTGTCCCTGTTACCAGGTCTGCCAGCTTCTTCACATCAGGCTCCATTACCCGCACACCTCTGGCGGCGCTCTCTACCATTGCCGTACTCAGGGGTTGCGGCCTGGTCTCAGTCTGCTGCAAGTCCATCCCCACCATTAGGGGCCCTGGTGAATAAGAAGATTGGGACTTAGACCCTGCGCCCTGAGAAACCCCGTGCTGTGGGCTGCTAGAGACGCCGCCAGGCGGTGTTTAACAGAACCAAACGGCCTGCCTGACCATTCCACCTCTCCAGCCCTGACTACGCCTGTGTTCCCACACATTTCTGGTCATACCCGGATCCCTGACATATAGTGTTTGTATGGATCAATATATTGATCACGAACAGAACTATACTAGTCTCCCCTTAGTATAGGGGTATAGTGTCCCCAAAAACGCAATGTTAGCAGGATCAGCCCCATTCGCTGGCAGCAATAGCATTTAATCCCCCCCTCCAACAAAAAGTGCAGTGTCTGTGTAATTTCTGATCACTGTCACCTGTGATACATTGCACACAAAACCACAGTGTTAGCAGAATCAGGCCTCATCTCTGGTAGCACTAGCAGGGGAATTTTATTTCTAGCCATTCAAGCAGTCCCTGACAGCCAGGAGCTCTTTTTCCCACAATAGATACCTATACATTTATAGGCCAAACTGTCCAAAGAAAGAATCTCTAGTGAAGAGGTCTACAGGATTCTGAACATGTCAAATGAGAGCAAGTGGAGTCCTCAGTGACAGAATCCGCCTCAGAATATGAACCTGTAGAGAGCAGCAACACCCTGACAGGTAGCTCGGATGATGGAGAAGGGGTCCTTGCTAAGATCAGGCTTACCCGACCCCATATAAAGAAAACAAACAGAGAGCGCACCGGCCTAGTGCATCATCGTAAAAAACATTTATTGAAATGATAAAAAATAGGTTTCGTACTCACAGTTGAAATACATGTCCAAGGCACATCACAAAGAACAGCACTGTCCAATCCACACTACATCCGCAATAGGAACCCTGGACTGGCTAACGCATTTCAAGGGCTTAGCCTCTTCCTCAGAGCCAACGTCCCCATGTAGCTGAAGTGCTAGGAACGCTTGACTTGTCTCAAGCAGCAGGGTCCAAGTACTAGTAATGCAATACCTTTTGGTGAACTGACAGGCACCAGCAGCCTAATACATACTGGCCTTTTACACACCAGCACTACAGTATCAAATGGTGACGTGGCGAGTCCCATAAGTGCAGTTCAAGTTGGTGCAGTAGCTAGCACTAGCAGCATCCCGCAGCCAACAAGAATTCGAGCACAGGCCGTAGGGCCCTTTGCAGGAACGCCATTCAGCTGCAGCACTGATCTGTTTAGCAGGTTGTGCTTTCAGAATATATACATCAGTGTATGCAGCGCTGCTGGAGGAGATTTCTAATCCTCATTTTAAAAAAAAAAACATATATGCCCAAGCATGAGGGCCTGGGGGTGGTCAGTGGGATGATTGCTCCTATGCTTTGGCAGATATTTTTATCACTTATTTTGGTAGAGATTTATCCATCCACATCAATTGATGTGAATGGAAGAGTCTGTTAGGTTCTTTTTTTTTTTTCATTCAGCTCACAGGCTGCATGAAAAAAAGAATACATACAGTATATGCCCAACAAGGACCAATGACGTACTGGTATGCACTGAACTTTAAGTGTGTAAAGTAGTAGCCTGTAAAGGCTTTTAAAGCGTCACCTAAGGATTTATAAAATCTATATAGTTTGTCACAATTGAATGGTCATGCACATTTTTAATTGGGCAATTTATTATGTTTTTGTGCATTAAAATTTTAAAAAGTGTATTTTTTCCAAAAAAAATTGCGTTAAAAAGAAATTGCTGTGCAAATACTGTGTGACATAAAAAATTGCAACACATACCATTGTGTTCTCTAGGGTCTCTGCTTAAAAGAAATATATACTGTTTTGGGGTTAAAAGTAATTTTCTAGCAATAAATACTGATTTTTTTCTTGTAAATAAAAAAATGCCAGAAAAGGCTTGGTCTTCAAGTGATTAGAAGAGTGGGTAATCCGTGGTGGAAGCTTCTAACGTTGTGCATAAAATGCCAGGACAGTTCAAACATCCCCCAAATGACCCCTTTTTGGAAAGTAGACACCCTAAACTATTTGCTGAGATGCATGCTATTTTGCAGATCTCATTTGTTCCCACAAGTTTTTGCAAAAAATCATATCTGTAACATACTCACCATGCCTCTTATCAAATTCTTTGGTTTGTCTACTTTCCAAAAAGAAGTCATTTGAGGGAGTGTTTGAACTATCCTAGCATTTCAGGGCCTCCAAAACTGTGACAGGTAGTGAGGAAATGACATGAGGTAATATGCCCTTTGAAAGCCTGAAGGTAGTCATTGGATTTTGTGGGCATCCCCATACTCAGAAGAAGTAGCAGAACGTGTTGTTGGGTGTAATTCCACATATACTTATGTCATAGGTCCTATGGCATGTCGGAGCAATATATCATTTAACCACTTCCTGTCCGGACATTTTAAACCCCTTCCTGTCTAGGCCAATTTTCAGCTTTCAGCATTATCACACTTTGAATGACAATTGCGCGGTCATGCAACACTGTACCTATATGAATTTTTTTGAATTTTTTTGAGACAGATAAAGCTTTATATTAGTGGTATTTATTCACCCCTGGGATTTTTATTTTTTTTGCTATTTAAATGAAAAAGTCCAAAAATTTTGAAAAAAAGCAAATAAATAATATTTCATCATAAATCTTGGCCAAAATTTATTCCGTTATCTTTTTAGTAAAAAAAAAATAACACTAATTAGTTTATAACCAAAAATTATAATTAAAAAAAAATGTTTTTTTTTTTTTTTTACATACTGTCACCCTAGCAGTACAGTGTCACCTTGGTGACACTGTACTACTTGTGGGAGGTGATGAAGGTTTTTTTGTTTTTTTTTACACTGATTGCTTTTACACCCATAAAGGCTGTAAAAACAATCATTTCTCCTTCTCTCTGGCTGTATTCCTACAGCCATTGAGAACTACTGAGTGAGCTGTGATTGGTCACAGCTTGTCACATGGTACAAGGCTGTTGTGAATAGCCTTGTACCATGTGACCTCTGTGATCATTCACAGATTTCACATGTAGTAAGCAATGATGTCACGAGTGACATCTTGCTTACTACTCTGCATATGATCACTGATTGGCCAATCAGTGATCACATGATCGGGACCTCATACAGAGGTCCTGTCCGACGATCGGTGTTCCACTGTGTCCGGAGGCGCACTCCCTCCCAACTAGAAAATGCGGGCAACCCGCCCCTAGAGTGACACCGTCCTGCCGTTTAAAAACAGTAGGCAGACAGCAAGTGGTTAAGTGGCAACTTTGTGTAAAAAAAAAAAAAAGAAGTTTTTTTTTTGTTGTCAGTTTTTAAAACTTTTTGTCAAAAAGTAAATCTTCCATAGACTGAACATGCCTTTCAGCAAATAGCTTGGGATGTCTACTTTCCAAAAAGGGGTCATTTGGGGGGAGGGGATGTTCTATGCTGGCATTTTATGGCCCTTTAAACTGGGATAGGTAGTGAGGAAGGGTAATGGGGAAATTACGCTCTTTGAAAGCCTGAAGGTGGTCATTGCTTTTCGGGCCCCATACGTGGCTCGGCTGCCAAAAAGTGTCACACATTTGGTATCTCTATACTCAGGAGAAGCAGCAGAATGTACTTTGGGGTGTACTTCCACATATACCCATGGCATGTGTGAGAAATATATCATTTAGGTGACTTTATGTTTAAAAAAAAAAAAGAAAAGGAAAACTTTTTTGTTAATTTTTTAAAAAACTTGTGACAAAAAATAAAATTTTTCATGGGCTCAATGTACCTCTCAGCAAAATCCTTGGGGTGTATACCTTCCAAAAAGGTGTCATTTGGGGGGGGGGTTGTACTGCCCTGGCATTTTAGCACCTCTAGACATGTGAGTCAGAAAGTAAAAGCTGTGTAAATTCCAGTATACAGTTGCAAGAAAAAGTATGTGAACCCCTTGGGATTACGTGGAGTTTTGCATGAATTGGGCATAAAATGTGCTCTGAACATCATCTAAGTCACAACAATAGAAGAACACAGTCTGCTGAACATAATACTACACAAACATTAGATGTTGCCATGGTTTAAGTGCACATAACATGTAAACATTCACAGTGCAGGGAGGAAAAAGTATGTGAGGCCCTAGCTTAATGACTTCTCCCAGAGCTAATTGGAGCCAGGAGTGAGCCAACCTTGACTCCAATCAGTGTGATGATATTGGATGTGTTGCTGACAGCTGTCCTGCCCTTAAAAAACACACACCTGTTTTGGGTTTACTGGTTTCAAGAAGCACTGTCTGATGTGAACCATGCCTCGCAGAAAAGAGCTCTCAGAAGACCTACGATCAAGAATTGTTGACTTGCATTAAGCTGGAAAGGGTTACAAAAGTATCTCCAAAAGCCTTGATGTTCATGTGTCCACGGTAAGACAGACTGTCTACAAATAGAGAAAGTTTAGCACTGTTGCTACTCTCTCGTGGTCGTCCTGTAAAAATGACTGCAAGAGCACAGCGCAGAATGCTGCATGAGGTAGAGAAGAATCCCAGAGTGTCAGCTAAAGACCTACAGAAATCTCTGGCACATGCTAACATTTTTGTTGACACATCTACAATAAGGAAAACATTAAACAAGAATGGAGTACATGGGCGGACACCACAGAGGAAGCCATTGCTGTCCAAAAAGAATATTGCAGCACGTTTGAAGTTTGCAAAAGAGCACTTGGATGTTCCACAGCACTACTGGCAAAATATACTGTGGACAGATGAAACCAAGATTGAGTTGTTTGGGAAGAACACACAACACTATGTGTGGAGAAAAAAAGGCACAGCACACCAACATCAAAACCTCATCCCCACTGTAAAACATGGCGGAGGGAGCATCATGGTTTGGGGCTGCTTTGCTGCCTCAGGGCCTGGACGGATTGTTGTCATTGATGGGAAAATGAATTCCAGAGTTTATCAAGACATTTTGCAGGAAAATGTACGACCATCTGTCCGCCAACTGAAGCTCCGCAGAGGATGGGTGATGCAACAGGACAATGACCCAAAGCATACAAGTACTTCAACAAAACAATGGCTGCAACAGCACAGAATACGCCTTCTGGAGTGGCCCAGTCAGAGTCCTGACCTCAACCCGATTGAAATGCTGTGGCATGACCTTAAGAGAGCGATTCACACCAGACATCCCAAGAATATTGCTACACTCAAACAGTTTTGTGAAGAGGAGTGGTCCAAAATTACTCCAGATCGTTGTGCAGGTCTGATCTGCAACTACAGGAAACGTTTTTGGTTGAGGTTATTGCTGCCAAAGGAGGATCAACCAGTTATTAAGTCCAAAGGTTCACATACTTTTTCCTCCCTACACTGTGAATGTTTACATGTTATGTGCAATTAAACCATGGCAACATCTAATGTTTGTGTAGTATTGTGTTCAGCAGACTGTGTTCTTCTATTGTTGTGACTTAGATGACGTTCAGAGCACATTTTATGCCCAATTCATGTAAAACTCCACATAATCCCAAGGGGTTCACATACTTTTTCTTGCAACTGTATATACCACAATTTATAAACACTATAACTTTCGTGCAAACCAAGTACTATTGTCAAGTACTTGACAAAGGAGGCAGGACCTCTGAACCGCATTGTACACGCCTCCTTCGCATTTCCCAGTGTATGCCAGATTCGTTGAGGACAGCTGTTGATGCTGCTGCTTTTCATCTTTACACGGTCCGGTTTCCAGTGGATGATAGCTGTAGACCTGGCTCATCATTCTTACACACATACTGTCATTTCCCTCCATGTCCTAGACCTGGCTCATCATTCTTACACACATAACTGTCATTTCCCTCCATGTCCAAGCAGCACTTCTCTTACTTGAATGTAAGTTTGGATATTTGTTCAATAAATGACACATTTTTGTTTTTACTAATTCCTGTGCTTTAGCTACCTTGTATTCTATTTGGATTGAATTGGACTGCCGATTGTGATGTCTTTTCTTTCAACATCAGTACCTGACCTCAGCTTTGGCCCAGTGAGCACACATTCCCATAGGCACACTGCAGAATCTCGTGAACAGCCTTCCCAGAAGAGTGTGGCTTGTTGTAGTTACACATTATCTTAGAACTCCTAACAATCAGTGCCAAAGATGACTTTATGACATTTACTTTAAATTTTGGCATGCTATATTTTATTGCATTTACATGAAATTTTATCCACTTGTTTAGATTCAAGATGACATCCAGACTATTCAAGATTCAGTTTTACAGAAGGTTAATATACTTTCCAATGCTATGATTCCAAAGGGTTCTTACCATATCACCCTGTTTGTGATGCATTTAGCCAGTGAAGAGGATGTTACTTTGTAAGTATGAGCTTACTACTTTTTGAAAACAATAGACTATTTCCCAGAACTTTATTGCTTGGCAGCGTAAAGAATATTTACAATATGGAATAGCTAAATTTGGAATTGAATGCAACAAGGGGCATATAAAAGTCATGTTTAGCACATCTGGAAGAACCTGTATGACATTTCAACATACATTGCATATTATACATAAACCTTGCACAAAGTGTGCCACAAAAAACAGTACGTTAAAATATTTTCCACATGTGCTGCTAAATTGTGCGTTTCCCTGTATGTTAGAAAAGACCATACATGATGCTTGTAACATTTACAGCATGTTGATATAATGCTTGTTTTATGTACGTTTAAAGTGAATATAAAACCTAACTGAATGTCAATGTATCATAAACAATTTCCAATTCTTTTTTTTTTTTTTTTTAAATAAAATACTGTATTTACCTTTTCTTCATTCTTTGTTGCAAGTATCTGCAGCTACTTTCTGTCTACATGCATACACTACAGTCACTGCTGAATACCATTTCTCAGTTTCCATCATGGTGACAACAGTGGGAGATGCCTATGCAATTTGTGTTAGCACAGCTGTCCTCAACTTCATATAGGAGAGCATGTGACAGAGTGACAACCTAGTAAAACCACTGGGAAAGCCTGTGAAAAAGTGACAATCCAAAGAACCAGTGAGAGACAGGGACAGTGCTCTATCATCCTATAGCAGGAAATTACTATTATTATTTATATTATTATTATTATACAGGATTTTTATAGCGCCAACAGTTTGCGCAATTCTTCACAAAATGAAGGTAGACATTACAGTTACAGTACAATTTGGTACAGGAGGAAACAGAGGGCCTTGCTTGTTAGAGCTTACAAGCTAAGAGGAAGGGTTGAGTGATACAAAAAGTAATAGCTGTGGGGGATGAGCTGATCGAAGAAATAAAAAGAAGTTTACTAGTTAGAAGCAGGATAGGCTTCTTTAACTGCTTCCCATCCGCCCTATAGCAGAAGTACTGCTACAGGGTGGCGCATTTGTGCAAAATCAAGTGTATACACGTGATTCTGCATTTCTGGGCAGGGAGCTCGGCCGCGGCTGTCGATCACTGGGTCCTGGCCGGTGATTACTCGCCCGGTGGTGATTGCCGAGCATCTCCCAACGGGGGGGGGGGGGGGACAGTTCTTTACTCTATCAGCTCCTGCACACTTTAAGCATACAGCCATGCAAAGCAGTGTGCTTACAGTGAAGCAAAAACACAACCACACAGTGTAAAAAAGCACACATTTTACCCTTCGATCAGCGCACTTGTTAACCCTTTCCTGCCAAATGCCATTAGTACAGTGTCAGTGCTTGTTATTAGCTCTGATCACTGTATTGGTGTCACTGGGGATGTCAGTGACACTAAGTCAGTTCCCCCCAGTGCCAGAATGCCCGCCGCAGTCCCGCTATAAGTCGCTGATTGAAGCCATTACTAGTAAAAATAAAAAAGAAATCTCAGTATATATACCTCCATTTGTAAATGCTATAAATTTCACGTAAACAAATTAATTTACATGTATTGGGATTTTTTTTTTAGCAAAGATGTAGCAGCATTTTGGCCTAAATTTATGATGAAATTACATTTTTTTACATTTTTCTACTGGAGAAGTTTAAAAAGTCAAAAATATTGTTTTTTTCTCAAAATTGTCGGTCTTTTTTTTTTATAGCGCAAAAAATTTAAAATGCACAGGCGATCAAATACCACCGAAAGAAAGCTCTATTCATGGGAAAAAAGGACATAAATTTAATTTGGGTGCAGCATTGCATGACCATGCAATTTTCAGTTAAAATAACACAGCGCCGTAAGGCAAAAAATGGCCTGGCCAGGAAGGGGGGTAAATCCTCAGGAGGGCAAGTGGTTAAAGAGAAGGGTTTTCAGGGATCCTCTAAAGGTGGATAGATTAGGAGATAGTCTGACAGATTGGGGTAGGGAGTTCCATAGGAAGGGAGAAGTCCTGGAGGCGAGCATGGGAGGAGGTTACATAAAACTAGAGAGCAGAAGGTCTTAGGAGGATCAAAGTGAGTGGCTTGGCTGATATTTTGAGATCAGGCTGGTGATGTAGTTGGGGGCCGAGTTGTGGATGGCTTTGTAAGTAGTTGTTAGTACTTTGAATTTTATTCATTGGGTGAGTGGAAGCCAGTGGAGGGATTGGCAGAGAGGGGTAGCAGACACTGAATGGTTGGTAAGGTGGATGAGCCTGGCAGCAGCATTCATGATGGACTGGAGGAAGGAAATATTATGAGCTCAGTTTTGGATAGATTGACTTTTAGGAAAGGGTGTGGCATCCAGTCTGATATGTCTGTTAGTAAATCTGTGATGTGCGAGGAAACTGATGGGGTGAGCTGAGGAGTAGAGAGAGATTTGTGTGTCATCAGCATAGAAATGGTATTGCAAACCATGGGAAGCTATCAACTGACCCAAGGAAAAAGTGTAGATCGAGAATAGGAGAGGTGCAAGAACAGAACCTTGGGGAACCCAGACAGTAAGAGGAGTAGGAGAGGAGGAAGTGGCGTTGTAAGTGACACTGAAGGTGATGTGAGATAAGTAAGATTCGAACCAACGGAGAGTACTGTCACGGAGGACAAGTAAATAGAGTTTTTTGAGGAGGAGGGGGTGGTCAACTGTGTCAAAGGCAGCAGAGAGGACCAAGCGTAAGAGTATGGAATAGTGACCATTGGTTTTAGCTGTTAGTAAGTCGTTTGTGAGTTTTAGGAGAGCAGTTTCTGTGGAGTGTTATGGGCAATATCCAGACTGAAGGGGATCAAGAAGATTATTCTCAATGACGTGGCAGCTCAGCCAGTTGTAGACTAAACTTTCAAGAAGTTTGGAGGAAAAAGAGTAAGTAGATGGGTATTAAGTTGCTAAGATTGGTGGGGTCTAGTGAGGCCTTTTTAAGTATGGGGGTGACTAGCACATGTTTTATAGAGTTGGGGAAGATGCCCGTAGAAAGGGAGAGACTGAAGATATCAGTTAAAGAGTGTAGAGTGACCGTAGTATTTCCGAGAGAACAAAGTCCAGGGGACAGGTGGTTAGGTGAGCTTTAGAAAAAAGTTTACTAACTTCCTTTATAGTAGCTGGGTTAAAAAAGGGGAAGTATTGATTGTGCAGGTAGACAAGGAGTATAGCATGAGAGAGATATCTGTACAGTGGAGATCTCCTCACAAAATGTATCAGTCTTATTTTTTAAGTGATTAGCGATCTCCTGGGCAGTGAGTGAGTTAGTAGGTGGAGGTAATGAAGCATGAAGTAGAGAGTTAAAGGTGGAAAAGAATTGACAGGGACTGCGTGAGAGGGTGTTAATGAGAGTGATCAAATAGGTCTGTTTGGCAGTGTGGAGGAAGGAATTGCATTTTTGAAGGGCATATTTATATTGGTCGAAGTCTTGCTGGGTCTTAGTCTTATGCCATAAATGCTCAACAGCACGGCTACAATTTTTGAGGCATCTGGTGTTGTCTGTTTGCCAGGGCTGTAGCGGTTGGGGTCTAATTCTGTGTGTAGTGAGGGGGGCCAATGTGTCCAGGGTGGATGACAGTGAACTGTTATAGACAAAAGTGGCCAGGTTGGGGCAGGACAGGGCTGAGATTTTGTCAGAGACCATCTGTTGCAGAAAAAAAGAAGAGAAGGGTAAAGATAGTGAAGGTTTCTACAGGTAACTGTTCGGTAGTTGGAAGATGAGGAGGAAGCCAAGGAGAGAGTGCAGATAATAAAGGGTGTGATCAGAGATGAGGAAAAGGAAAGTTGGTGAGGTTGTAAGGAGTGCATAGGTAGGTAAATACAACGTCGAGGCAGTTACCATGAGAGTGAGTGGCAGCATGTGTCCATTGTTTTAGGTCAAAAGAAGTGGTTAGGCTCAGAAGTTTAAAAGTAGCAGGAGTGTTAAGATTAACAGGGATGTTGAAGTCACCAAGAATGATTGTGGGAATTTCAGAAGAGAGAAAGTAAGGTAGCCAGCCAGAGAAGTCACCAAGGAGGCTTGATACTAGTCCAGGAGGACGATAGATCACAGCAGTTCTTAAAGAAACTGACTAATTTAAAATGAGGAGAGGGACAGAGAGGGAGGTGAATGACCTGAAAAATGCTTTAAAGGGATAGGAGGATTCCTACTCCACCTCCTTTCTGTCCACTAGGTCTGGGAGAGTGAGTCCAGAGGAGACCACCATGGGAGAGGCCTCAGGAGAGGGAAAGTCAGATTTGTGAAGCCAGGTTTCCGGAATTGCAAGTAGGTTAAAGGAGTTTTTGATAAAAAGGTCATGGACAAAGGTGAGTTTGTTACAGACAAAGTGGGCACTCCAAAGGGCACAGGAAAAGGGGTGTCTGGTGCTAGGAAGAAGAGGAATAGTAACTAGATTATGTGGATTGCGGCCGCTGTTAGAGGACAGGGGGTGCTGGGTGTGTTGGTAAAAGGAAAAAGATGGCAGCCCTGGATTTGGGGAAATGTCTCCAGATGTTAGGAGAAGCAGAAGGGTGAGGGAGGTAATATGGGAGTATGATTTATATGGAAGGACAGATCCCAGTGTCCTGGAGGTGTTATTATTAGTATGTGGATTCAGAATTAGCTGGAGTTCATAAGTGCAGTAATAAGGTGAAGACAGGAGTGAGGGTGATATATATCAGCTGTGGGGTGGAGAAGATGGGTGAAGGAAAGAGAGTTTGAAGAGAAAGGATACAACTGTGAGAAGGTGGAGTAGGGAGTGCATGTTACAGAGCGGACGAGATGAAGAAGCAGACTGGGTAAGAGATGAAAAAGCTGGATGGGGAAACAGGTCATCTGTAGTCTGTTTAGTGTTTGGAGTTGTCTGCTGTGGCTTCTCCTTTGTGCTTTAGCTGAAGTGCAGAGCCGAAGTGCAATGCTTACTCCAATTTTATCCATGATGATAGTTGCCAATGCTATGTTGGATGTTGCATGTCTTTGGAGTGTAGGAGGAAACCGGAGCACCCCGAGGAAACCCACGCAGGCACAGGGAGAACATGCAAACTCCAGGCAGGAGGTGCCATGGTTGGGATTTGAACCAACGACCCTAGTACGGCCAGGCGGAAGTGCTTACCATTTAGCCACTGTGCTGCCCATATTTGATTATTATTATTTGGTTTACATATAGTTTAACAAGTTGTACTCTGTATACTACAGCTATAATAAGAGTAGTATATGATGTGTAAGCACCATGTTTGTTTCCAGTGATTGATATCAAGATATAAAGGTGAATGAATATCTATTTGTAACAACCCCAATTCCAAAACAAATTGGAACACTGTGTAAAATCTACATAAAAGCAGAATGCAATGATTTGCGCATCGCATAAGCCCATATTTTATTCACAATAGAAATAGAAAACATATCAAATGTTTTAACTGAGAAAATGTACCATTTCATGAAAAAGGTAATTTTGAAATTGATGGCAGCAATGTGTCTCAAAAAATTTAGGCCAGGTCCCTGTTTACAACGGTGTAGCATCCCCTCTTCTTTTAACAACTCTCTTTAAATGTCTGGGAACTGAAGAGATCAGTTGTTGGAGTTTTGGTTGAGGAATATTGTTCCATTCTTGCCTGATTTAGCATTCTAACTGCTCAACATTCCCGGGTCGTCTTTGTCATATTTTTAGTTTCAAGATGCATTAAATATTTTCCATTGGTGAATTGTTTGGACTGCAGGCAGGCCAGTTAAGCACCTGGACTCTTCTACAATGTCACATACTGTATACACACTGCTTCCCTTCTGATTCTCTTCTAATAGCAAACCTTTTGCCTACATTTGCACTAAAAGGCATCCTTCTCTTCTGTTTTAATGGTCAGAATAGGTGAATTTTGATTTGTAATTCTAGGCCTTATTAGGTGAAAAGAATGAATTCAATGTGTAGTTGATTTCTGCAAGCATGTCATTATAGAAAAAAGTTTTAGTTTACATGATATGTCAATAATGATTTTTTTTTCCTGGAACAGTATGAAATGTCAAATTAGTGGACAACACCATTAAATAATTTTAATTGCAGAATAATAATGTGATTTTGCAGGTCTGCTGTATTAAAAGTTATGTGCAGGTACTTACACTCAATGGCCACTTTATTAGGCATACCTGTTCAATTGCTTGGTAACACGATTTGCTAATCAGCCAATCACGTGGCAGTAACTCAATGCATTTAGGCATCTAGACGTGCTGAAGATGACTTGCTGAAGTTCAACCTGAGCATCAGAATGGGGAAGAAAGTGATTTAAGTGACTTTGAACGTGGCATGCTTGTTGGTGCCAGACGGGCTGGTCTGAGTATTTAAAAACTGCTGATCTACTGGGATTTTCACAAACAACCATCTATAGGGTTTACAGAGAATGGTCCAAAAAAAAAAGAAAATATTCAGTGAGCGGCTGTTGTGTGGAGGAAAATGCCTTGTTGATGTCAGAGGAGAATGGGCAGACTGGTTTGAGATGTCAATATGGACCAAAATCTCTGAGGAATATTTCCAACACCTTGTTAGATCTATGCCACGAAGAATTAAGGCAGTTCTGAAGGCAAAATGGGGTCCAACCTGGTACTAGCAAGTATCTAATAAAGTGGCCGTTGAGTGTATATGCTCCGCTCTTCCAGCCACCCACCAGCAATTCTGTAAGACTAAGGCTACGACTACATCTGTAAATAAATATTTTGCTTCTGAGAAATGTAACTTCTTGTTAGCAATCATTTCATTTTCAGCACTCTGAAATCATCCTAAGATTCACGGTGAATTTTGTTTACTTGCAGAGCTTTTAGAGGGTTAAAACATGGGGTGATGTATTGCAGAGAGTCCTTGGATGTGGTGGCTGTATTAGTTCTCATTTTTTAAGCTAAGAACATTTTCATCAAATGCAGAAATTTCCTGTTTATTGTTGTTTATTTGTTGGCTTAGATAAGGAAAAAACACAACAGCAATAGGGCCTGATGGTTATGTGCAGTACTGCATATAGATTAGTTGCTTTGGTAGAGTGGGAAAGGAAAAGATCGGAGTGCAATGTGGGAAGATTTGGAGGGATGTAGTTTGGGATTTTTTCTTTCCAATTGGCATACTTTGTTAATTGTCTAATACGATGTGGATAAAAAAAATATCAGGTACCTTTATATTGAGTTTTTATTGATATATATATATGTGTGTATGAGCTGGTATCTTTATTGTTGATATATGAGAGCATTGAAGTGCTGAAGGTCTGCATGTTTCTATTTCTTTTGAGGAACCAACTTGATTTGGTGCATGCTCTCCCAGCTAAGCTGGAAAAGCTAACCGTGTTAGTATCTTTGTCTATCATTTGCAACTCTGATAACTATTACAATTATTTCTTAGCATGCCAACTATGAAAATATAGTAATATTACATAATGTACTGTTATCCAGGTATTAAACATAAATTTTGAATACTGTGAAACTATTCCATTGCTTTTCAGCACTGTTTTATAACTCTGGGTGAAGACTTTTTGTTAATTCCATTTAAAGTTATTGCTGTAGCCTAGAGTTTACCATCTGTACAGCTTGCCTGTGCTCATAGCTGCTGAAAGATGTCTAGGTTGTAGTTTAGCTCTAGATAATTACATAACCAGAACAAGGCCCAGACTGGCCATAGGGCACACCAGACCGCGGTGACCCCATCCAGGCAGCGGCGACCGCGGTCTAGGTGGGGCTGTGACAGACCGCGGCCGCCGCTCACCTCCCACTGTGCGGCTATACCCAAAGCAGGGCCAACAGGAGGAGTGGCAGTGGTGGCTCCTGAAGACTAGCAGGAAGCGCCACTGACACATGGACACCTCCTCGACCGGCTGCTGCACTAAAGAGAGAATGGTGGCCTCTCTTCTTCACCCGCCGGCACACTGTGACAGGTCTGTAACAGCGGTGGATGGGGCTGTCTCTTTGCTGGATGAGTTGTCTCTTTGCTGGATGGGCTGTCTCTTTGCTGGAGGAGCTGTCTCTGCTGGATGGGCTGTCTCTTTGCTGGATGAGCTGTCTCTTTTCTGGAGGGGCTGTCTCTTTGCTGGATGAGCTGTCTCTTTGCTGGACAAGCTGTCTCTTTGCTGGATGGCTGTCTCTTTGCTGGATGGGCTGTCTCTTTTCTGGATGGGCTGTCTCTTTGCTGGAAGGGCTGTCTCTTTGTTTTAGAGACTGTCTCTTTGCTGGATGGGCTGTCTCTTTGCTGGACGGCTGTCTCTTTACTGGATGGGCTGTCTCTGTTGGACGAGCTTTCTCTGCTGAGCGTCTGCCTCTTTGCTGGACGGGCTGTCTCTTTGCTGGACAGTTGTCTCTTTGCTGGATGGGGATGTCTCTTTGCCCAGTTGGGTCCATCAAAGAGAAATCCCAATCCAGCAAAGAGACAGTCCAGTCCAAGAAGGGACATCCCCACCCAGCAAAGAGACATCCCTGTCCAGCAAAGAGACATCCCATCTTTGCTCTGTGGGGATGTCTACTTGCTGGACGGGCTGTTTCTTTGCTAGACGGTCTGTCTCTTTGCTGGACTGGGCTGTCTCTTTGCCCAGTTGGGTCCAGCAAAGAAATGTCCCAATCCAGCAAAGAGACAGCCCAGTCCAAAAGGAAGGGACATACCCTTCCAGCAAAGAGACATCCCAATCCAGCAAAGAGATATCCCAATCTAGCAAAGAAACAGCCAAGTCCAAGAAGGGACATCCCGATCCAGAAAAGAGACATCCCTGTCCAGCAAAGAGACATCAATACAGTGACCCTTTACAGTGCAGTCCCCTTTATATCATAGTGCCCCTTTATATTATAGTGCGAAGGACCAACTCCGTGAATATTCTGTCACCAACTGCCCCCACAAATGCCTTTGCACCCCCCCTGAAATTGGGTACTTAGTCTAAAATGCCCGGGCCTATTTTTTGTCGTAGTCCAGTCCTGACCAGAACTATGTTTATTACTGACTTCTTATTAGTCAAAATTTTAGTATCACTTTTGATGAACAAAATATTTAATAATCTAACAAATTATTTCCTTCTTTGTACTAGAGCAGTAAATGCGCTTTTGGAGAGTAAAAAGCCAGTTGAAGAAATCCTAAGAGGAGTGAATTTGATTCTAACATTTTTTGTGGTATATCTGATTTTAAACGTGAAGTTGTGTTTGCCCAGACTACACCAGGACATGCTGTATCTACACTCAAGCAGATAACTGGTAAGAATTATGCCTTTCAATCAAAGATTTATATACAGGTGAAAGTCAAAAAATTTGAATATCGTGCAAAAGTTCATTTATTTCAGTAATGCAACTTAAAAGGTGAAACTAATATATGAGATAGACTCATTACATGCAAAGCAAGATAGTTCAAGCCGTAATTTGTCATAATTGTGATGATTATGGCTTACAGCTCATGAAAACCCCAAATCCACAATCTCAGAAAATTAGAATATTGTGAAAAGGTGCAATATTCTAGGCTCAAAGTGTCCCACTCTAATCAGTTAATTAAGCCATAACACCTGCAAAGGGTTCCTGAGCCTTTAAATGGTCTCTCAATCTGGTTCAGTTGGAATCACAATCATGGGAAAGACTGCTCACCTGACAGTTGTGTAGAAAACGATCATTGACACCCCTCCATAAGGAGGGAAAGCCTCAAAAGGTAATTGAAAAGAAGTTGGATGTTCCCAAAGTGCTGTATCAAAGCACATTAATAGAAAGTTATGTGGAAGGGAAAAGTGTGGAAGAAAAAGGTGCACAAGCAACAGGGATGACCGCAGCCTGGAGAGGATTGTCAGGAAAAGGCCATTCAAAAGTGTTGGGGACTTTCACAAGGAGTGGACTGAGGCTGGAGTCAGTGCATCAAGAGCCACCACACACAGACGGATCCTGGACATGGGCTTCAAATGTCGCATTCCTCTTGTCAAGCCGCTCCTGAACAACAAACAACGTCAGAAGTGTCTTACCTGGGCTAAAGAAAAACAGACCTGGTCTGTTGCTCACTGGTCCAAAGTCCTCTTTTCTGATGAGAGCAACTTTTGCATCTCATTTGGAAATCAAGGACCCAGAGTATGGAGGAAGAATGGAGAGGCACACACTGCAAGGTGCTTGAAGTCCAGTGTGAAGTTTCCACAGTCTGTGTTGATTTGGGGAGCCATGTCATCTGCTGGTGTTGGTCCTCTGTGCTTCATTAAGTCCAGGGTCAGCGCAGCCGTCTACCAAGAGATTTTGGAGCACTTCATGCTTCCTTCCGCAGACGAGTTTTATGGGGATGCTGACTTCATTTTCCAGCAGGATTTGGCACCTGCCCACACTGCCAAAAGCACCAAAATCTGGTTCAATGACCGTGGGATTACTGTGCTTGATTGGCCAGCAAACTCGCCTGACCTGAACCCCATAGAGAATCTATGGGGCATTGCCAAGAGAAAGATGAGAGACATGAGACGGAACAATGCAGAAGAGCTGAAGGCCGCTATTGAAGCATCCTGGTCTTCCATAACACTTCAGCAGTGCCACAGGCTGATAGCTTCCATGCCACGCCGCATTGAGGCAGTAATTGCTACAAAAGTTTCCCAAACCAAGTACTGAGTACATATGCATGCTTATACTTTTCAGAGGTCCGATATTGTTCTGTGTACAATCCTTGTTTTATTGATTGCATGTAATATTCTAATTTTCTGAGATTGTGGATTTGGAGTTTTCATGAGCTGTAAGCCATAATCATCACAATTATGACAAATCACGGCTTGAACTATCTTGCTTTGCATGTAATGAGTCTCTCTCATATATTAGATTTACCTTTTAAGTTGCATTACTGAAATAAATGAACTTTTGCACGATATTCTAATTTTTTCGAGTTTCACCTGTAGATACTTTAACTATAGAAAACACACAAACAGTTGATGCTGAAAATGTTTAAAAAGGCATTTTCCCTTGCTAAAGGCATTTTCCACTCATATTCAGTTCTTATTTGTCACCAAAACAGTTCCAGTGAGAACTTTTAAATATTAGTTTTTCCCCTCACTTTGGGGAGATTTCCTCTCACTTCTTCTTGAGACTTCCTAACAGGTAGTGTGGCAAAATATCCCCAGCAAGGAAAGAGGCACAAATTAAAACCTAATAGAGGTTTTAACACTTTACCACTCTATTCAAAGAGAAAAAAAAACATTTTAGCCCCTCTTTATGTGACCAGATCCACAAAAATCATAGAAGATGTATTACCAAAAATACAAAAGAGAAAGGCAGGCCTGCATGGGACACTGTGTAACCAGTTAATGGAATTGGCATCAATGTGCTTAACAAACAGGGCAGCAATTGTTTATGATACAATAAAAATGTGGTTTCTTCAAGCCACAAATTCACCTACCACTCTGAAGAACATAGGTTCATAACTTTTCAGGTTGAATACATAAGCATTTTACTGTGATACTGCCTTTTTACTGGTGTGGTTTGATGCAAGAGAAGAGGTGATTTCTCTTCACAGGAAGGGGGTGATTGCTAGAGACACCCCTTTACAAAGCACGCTACCTGGGTGATGTGTCATCTTGCGCTCTAGTTAGGAAGTAGAATGATTTGGATGTGGGTACAGAAGGCCCAGACAATGCGAATGTTATATCCAAGTGTCATTGTTGGACAAACCACAAAAGTTTATGAATGGTGTGGTGAAGCAAGATTGACAAGAATGGCAAACTCATTTAATAGGGTTTAGATCTTTTGACTTCTACACCAAGATCAGCAGTCTGTGGCTCAGTGTGGAAATTAGCACGCTGCACAGTTAGGTGTATGTAAAGTTTAACACCTGATATTAAATTATGTTTATATCTAAACTCAAAGTACAAAAATAATATTTTGCAGCTTGCTAATCCTTAAATGTGGTAGCTGAATGACTTTTTTTTTAAGATAAGTATGTTTTCTGCAAGTACTAAGGAAAATACCTGTTAATCTTGTTAGAGTTCTAGTGTCCTAGTATCTTCCTGATAAATTAACTAAAAATTTCAAACTTAGTTATCTGTGAAGTACAGTATTTTATATATGCCTTTTAACAGTGGGGGTGTTGCTAGCCCCTCATATATGATCTAGGAGGAGGAGTGATTGTTATTTATGGGGGGGCAGGGGGTTGTTTAATTCAAATCAGTCTGTGGAGAGGAGTTTGGTTTTCTGATAAAAACACTGTACAGTAGTTGAGCATTGTCAACTTGCAAGACAGGTTAAGTGTGTAACTAGAATAAAAAAAACCTTGGGAAAATAAAGGTAAAAAAGAGATTTAAAAATCTCCAGTCCTCTAGGGTACAAAGCGTATATAGCACTTATCTTTCCATGTGCTGTAAAAGCCCAGATATAATGTTTGACAGTGCTCCTTCCCTCTTCCCCAACTGCTTTGCTGCAACACAAATATCAAGGAAAACTAATATGTAATGAACCACGATTGACTACACTTGCCTTTGGCTCCATGCTTTTGTCTGAGACAAGTGCTGTCACCATGGATTGCAAAGAAAGGGGGCCTTGTCATACACGCTTTACAACACAGGCAACACTCACAGCAAAGCTCTGCCCCTGTTGCTCACAGTCCAGTCTGTGTATGTGCAGGGAGTGGCTAGGGTGTCATTTTGAGGTTTCAATTCCAGGTCCGGTGTCAGCACTCAGAACAGGCACAATCACTATGCACGAGGGCAGCGGCAGAGCACAACTACAGGACTGCCCACAAATCAGTCGTCTTTACGAGGAGGAGCAAAAAACGTTGCAATTGAATAAAGAAAGAAGGAACTTCCTTTAAAGATAATATTGTGTTGAGAATGAGAGCTTTTTTTAAAGCTAAGTAAAGTGACTCATTAAAGTATTCCTAAACCCATGACCCTGCATCTGATCTCCCACAGTACACAGAACATGGAAATGCAATTATTTTAGTAAATATAAACTGCTAAATAACTTTTCTCATCAGCAGTATATGTCTTGTGACTTCTATAAGTGTCTGGCTGAGCACTGGTTAATCTTGGAGGGGTTTTCACTTGCCTCTAACTGGCCCATCAGGTTGCATGATCCCTGACCCTCTGGACAGAGCTGATTGGCCCTGTGCTGATCACATTCACCTTCCCCCTACCCCCAAAAAAAAAAGCTCTCTAGCATAACACACCAAACAGAGCATGTACAGATATGCCACTGCTGCTGTGTACTACGGCAGATGGATTGGGGACAGTAAATGAAGGGTAGGATCAGAGAAGAAAGGATCAAACAGCCGTTTTACACAAAACAGAGGATTAACTCCTTAGGTTCCATAGTGAGTATAACAAGCATGCTTTACTGCAAATACAGACTGATTTTTTTCTGTTGTGGGTTTAGTAACACTTTAACCATGTAATGCACTTGTGATGGAGGGAGTGCACTTGACTTTGTGAGTGCATTACTGTGAATGTACATACCTATTTACAGATTGGTGTTCCTTCAGAAACTATGAGGAAGATATTTGAAGAAAAGGGCATTTCTGTTATTGGAAGTAGAGATTTTGTACCTCATTTGACTTTGATGAAGCTGTCAAGAGCCCCAAAGCTGCGTACACAGGTGAGGTTCTGTTACTCAAGTCAAAATAATAATGCTGGTAAATAAAAGCCAAGTTGAATTCACAGAGATAAATATTCATTTAGACATAGATATTTGAATATACATTTTTTAAATATATTATTCAGATTTTGTTTAACATAAAAAAGTCATTTTAACATATATTTTTACATGTATTTGTAAATGCATTCCAAAAATGTAGATTTGTATTTTTAAAGACATATAGTATATTTGAAATGTATGTTTAAAAACATTTTTCATATACTTTGTAATAAAAACACATTTCAAAATGCAGTATGTGTGTATATATATATATATATATATATATATATATATATATATATATATATTTATTGAAATATATTGAATATGGTCAAAATTTTAGCATTTCAAATATATGGCAATATATTTGGGAAGAATATTTTTAAAATACATTTCAAATATATTTTCCTTCCATATGGATAACTAGGATGTTGGTGGCCTGCCTCCTAGCAACCAATGTAGCAAACTTATACACAGGAATACATTTCATACACAACACCTTCTACTGAAAACTCTGACCAGTCTCTGTAAGCCAGTTTAGTGTTTGGTCTCAATTACCTCCAGTTTCAGCATCTACAAACTGGCTGTAATTTGACCCAACATGAAAGTGATGCAAAGAAGAACTACTGGAACTCTTTTCAAAATTGATTGTAACAAGACTTTCATAATTTAGGTGCAGGATTTTCTAATCGGCCAATACTGCCAGAAAAGCTTCACAAACACCACCTTAATGCTCTTATAAAGTGCAGTCTTGCCTGACAATGTGTAAATACTGTAAAACTATTTCCTGTTCCTGAGCTTATTTTCCAAGCTGTAGAACAACAAAAATGACACATTGGGGTTTATTTACTAAAGCTGGAGAGTGCAAAATCAGGCTTACTTCTGCATAGAAATCAATCAGCTTCCCAGTTTTATTGCCAAAGCTTAATTGAACAAGCTGAGGTTAGATGCTGATTTGTTTCTATGCAGAAGTGAACCCGATTTTGCATTCTCCAGCTTTGGTAAATAAACCACACTCTGTTTTCTGATGTTGCTAAACAGACATAAATCTTCAGTCTTGTTGCAGAAGTCTTAACTCATACTTCTGTCAATTTTTGTGTTGTTTTTTTTTAATACATTTTTATTGAAGTTTTTCAAGGTAAATACAACCATACAATCTCAATATAAAACCCATTATTAACCAGAGGTATTTGTAAGACAAGGAATACAAACGCCTGTACAACAATTACAACGTACAAAACACTGTGTTAGAAATAGGCATGTAAGGTATAACATGACCGTAATGAGGGTCGAACCTAAAGGTTAAGCATTTCCCTAGGAATCAAAGCTTGGATACAGTAGCCTGAACAAAAGTACTTCTTTATCTGACAGAACACTATAAAAGGATTACCATGTGGGCTAGGTACTACTTATTGCGGTTTATACAGTCCACAGAGAGTTGGGGAAGAGGATAAGTGGGGGTTGGGGCTAGAGAGTGAGTTGATCACTTGGAGTCTACCTAGTGTATTGGTTAGTTGATCTTTGAGATACCAATCTGTGTAGCAGAAGGGTTCCATATGAGCGGATAAATCAGCAGGTGAGAAGGAATGCTCCATGTAACCATCTTGAGATGAAACGACGAGTGGACTTAAAGTTTTGGGTGATGGTGTCAAGCTTTTCCAGATTGAAAAGGTTAGTTAGTGCCTGTTTTACTGCTTTGAGAGGGGGAGGATTTGGATGAATCCAGGCTTGCATGAGGGCTCTGCGGGCCAACAATAGACAAATATGTATTCACTGGGGGAAAGCGGTAGGGGTGTGCCGATGTTGAAGGCTCTTCTTCATAGCTAAAGAAACAAATCATGGGATCTTTGGACACAGAGATGTTGTATAGTTGGTTGATGTAATAAAGGATTCGGTCCCAGAAAGATGAAACTCGAGCACATTCCCACAAGCGATGGAACAAGGTCGGTCGGTTGCGATCACACCAAGGGCATGTTGGGTGGGCAGCAACTACCAAGTTTGTGGAAAAAGGATAATAGGCCCGGTGAATTATTTTGAATTGAGTTTCGTGCCATGTTTCACTAAGTACAAGTGAAACAATTTTCCTGTATCCTGATAATAGTTTGTCTGGAATATCATCCGTAGAAAGTATGGGGGTCCAGGGTTTAAATGGAGTAAGATGGTATTTTGCAGATTGATGAGAGACCAGATGAGAGTAGATGTCTGAGATGGAATAGCGGTCTTGTCGAATCAATATCTCTATGAAGGAGCATTGGAAGAGATCCTGTTTAGGGGAATAGCAGGACCGGATATAATTCACCAGCTGATGATGGTGGAAAACATGGCAAAGAGTATTGAGCAGCTAACACAGAGAAGGGTTTAAATGAATGTTGGGTATCATCAAAGACTGACATAACCTTAGTAAGTCCATTGTATGACCAATGGGTGAATGCTGCGTGTTCACTAGCTGGAGGGAACATAGGATTTCCAAGTATAGGCAGGTAACAGGATATCCTGGGTGGTAGGCCAAGAAGCTTCCGCATTTCCCTCCAAGCCAATATGGTGTCTCTGATCAAAAGATTAGATCGGAGAGACACAGGTAGAGGTTTAAGGTTGGAGTGCAGAATGGCAGAGAGATGGAACGGGGAGACCAGGGCTTCCTCCAGAGAGTAATTAGAGTAACGTGATTTCATGGTAATTCAATCAAGACCCTGGTGAAGGAGGCAGAACAAATTGTAAAATCTAATATTTGGCAGGCATGCGCCCCCCTCACTCCTAGGGAAACTTAGCTTCTATAACGCAATGCAGGATTTTTTGTGTTTCCAAAGAAAGGCTTGTAGGGCCGTATGAATCTTCTGTATAGCAGAATGCTTTAACAAAATAGGAAGTGTTTGTAAAGGGTATAGCAGTCTCACATATGAAATCATTTTGAAGAGATGGCCTCTCCCAAAGAGTCAGAGGGGGAGTGTCGACCAAGCTTCCAATTCCTGCACAATCTTATTGATTAGAGGAGGGTAATTAAGGTAATAGAGAGACAATGGTTCTCTGCCTATGTGTATGCCCAAATAGGTAATTGAGTGTTTAGCTATACAAAAAGGGGAAGACTTGAGCTAGCGATTCGAAGTAGTAGGGAGCACTTAACTGTTGTCAAAACTGATTCGTAAACCTGGGCAGCTACGGAAGGTTGCAAATAAATTGTGAAGTAATCTAAACAACAATATATCATCCGCAATAGAGCTGAACAAATATTGTGTTCGCCGATCGTGATACCACTTACTCCTGGAGTTGAGTAGTCTGGATAAAGGTTCTAAAGCAATATTAAAAAGAAGGGGGGAAAGTGGGCAGCCCTGTCTCGTACCCTTAGTTAAGGGAATGTCAGTGGATATAAAGTCAGGTGTGACCAGACTAGCTGTGGGTGAAGAGTACATCTGTCGTAAGAAGTCTTGAATGGAACCCAATATACCAAACTTTTGCATGACCATGAAGAGCCAGGTAAAACTAATATTGTCAAAGGCTTTTTTCAGCGTCCAAGGATATGAGCGCCAAATCATGCATTTAGTGGGTTTTTGCATATTCTAGGGTCAACAGTACTTTACTGATATTAAGTGTCGCTGATCGTCCCTGTACGAAGCCAAATTGGGCCGGATGCAACATGGTAGGGAGTAACAGGGCCAGCCTGGCCGCTACAATTTTTTTATAGTATTTTGGCGTTAATATTAATCAGAGAAATAGGTCGGTAGGATCCTGGCAACAGTGGGTCTTTCCCCTTTTTAGCTATGAGCTTGATATGTGCTTTGGAGCCTGATGGGAGATAAGGGCCATCCTCCCACATTGCCTTGTAAACATGATGCAAGGTGTCTGGGATGGTTAGTTTATAGAACTCAGCACTAAAGCCTTAACAGAGGGCAAATTTGTAATAGTGGCACGAATATCGTCTAACGTGATAGGAGCATTGAGAGCCTCTAGCTTGGATTGGAAAAGCTTAGGCAGGTGCACAGCAGCTAACAAGTCTTCAGTGGTTTTAGGATCAATCGGGTCTTCTGAATACAGAGAAGTGTAGTAAGATGTGAGAAGCAAGTTAATATCTGAGGACATCGTAAAAAGATTTCCCGTGGGAGACCGGAGGGTGGAAATATAAGTAGGAGCCCGGGGGCCAGCACAGAGCCGTGCTAGCAGTTTACCTACTTTGTTGCCATACCTATAAAATTTCAAGGTGGAATAGGCCGATTTGGCTGCTTCCTGGTGTTCAGCCCAATAATCAAAGATTCGTTTAGTAGATTGCCAGGTCAGCTTGTTTACTGAAGTGCGATTGAGAGAGAGCGCAATGTGCTCTTGACAAAGAGATTCACTAGCCTGTTGGTATTGTAAATGGGATCGTTTTTTAAATTGTGCGGTATAAGAAATTATGCGCCCTGTGAGGAACGCTTTCCCACTTTCCCAGAATAGATTGGGGTTAGTTAAGTGGGCTCCATTCATGTCTGCGAATTCCGCCCAGGCTGTGTAGAGATGAGTTTTGAAGTCCTCGCTATTAGCTAAGCAGGCGAGGAAGCGCCATGAGCTAGTAGTCCTCAGAGCTTTCAACCCAGACAGTTGCATCAGAATTGAACAATGATCAGAGCTGGCCATATCAAGTATTGTCGCTTTGCGTAATAAGGGAAGGAGAGACCACGAGCAGAAGAAATAGTCAATGAGGGAGAATGAGTCATTGGGTTTGAGTAGCACGTGCATTCCTAGTCAGTCGGGTGGTGCAGGCACCCTGTGTCATGAAGATTAAGTGTATGGATGGAGTGTGCTAAAGCAGTAAAAGTGGGAGGCTGAGACGGTTGTCGAGTGCGTTGCGTTAGACAGTCCCTGGTCCGATCAGAATATTGGTGCATAACAGAGTTAAAATCCCCACCCAGTATTTGGCAGGGTTCTGGGATTTGTAGGGCCCATGATATCAGGTCTTGGTAAAGATCTGTCCTGGGGAGTTAGGGGCATATACATTGGAGACAGCAATATCACAAGAGGCAATAGTGAAATGATTGGTAAGTTTGCGACCCTCAGAATCAGAGTTGATAGAGCATACAGTGTGGTGTAAATGTTTGTGTAACAGCATAGCTACCCCTGCTTTACGACTTATGGCAGGAGAACCATATACCTGGCCCACCCAGAGCTTCGACAGTCATGAGAGTTCGATTGCTGAGAGATGCGTCTCCTGGAGGAGTGCAACATCTGCCCTCAAACGCTTCAAATGTCGTAAAACTTGCCTACTTTTGTTTGGAGAGCATAGCCCCTTAACATTCCAAGAGATTACCTGTCGTCTGATGGAGCCATGTCTTTTGCAGTACAGTATTAGAATATAGCCCATAAGAGGGCAATACCATGCCAGGCATTGCCCCAACGAGTACAGGTTCACAATAGTACCATGCAGTTCCTAGGGAAATTAAACATAAAGAACAATGGAGCAGGACAATAAAAGCAGAGTATTTGTAACAAAAAGGGAGGTACTCCCTAACCAAAACAAAAACTTCACTTTTTTCCGCTTGATGCAACCTCATTAAGGCTAGAGACTCCACTACTGAGAATTTACTCAATATTCATGGGGGGAGGGGGAATGTGAGAAGAAAGGGAAAGATAGTATCGAGGAGCACATGAGGACTGTAGGGGAACAACAGGGGAAGGGAGCTAAGAAGCCTGTTTCTTCTACTAGGGGGGAGAAGCGGACATAGTAATTAGCCGTAAGAGATGCAGGTAGCAGTACCATCCGAGGGCAGAGCCCCAGCTCTATCAGGGCCAGAGAAAAAAATAGAAGAAAGCAGAGAATATGAATCAAAGGGCACTGGTGATTGGTCAGTGGGCACTACTCCCTGAAGGTGCATACAGGATGCAAGATGAACTTGGGTCTTGAGGAGGCAAATCTGCGATTAAAGTAGTGGTCCTCTAATCGACCAAAGCGGACAAGTTTGTGGGGACGTTTTTGGAGGTTGATTGGTTTTGGAAGGGCGCAGCTTTTCCCGAGGGGTGGGGGAGGAAGATTGTGTAGAATGTGCCCCTTGATCCATCGCCGGTTCAGGGGTGTTGAGGTAGTGTTTCACTTTCGGAAGGTGAGGTGAAAGAAAGACGGTCCCCCTCCGGAGGTTGGATATGGAGGACAGCGGGATATGCCAGAGTAAATTTGATATGTTTGTGGTAGAGAGCAGAGCAAATCGCCGGGAAGGTCTAACGTTGGCGCATAACCTCTATGGAATAGTCCGCAAACAGGAGTAGTTGGTTTTTGTCCACAGCTAACATGTGTGCCCGCCAGAATTTTTGAAGGATGGCTTGCTTGTCAGCATAGTTCAAGTAGCGGACTATCACCGGCCTAGGTTTGGGGTGAGAATTGGATGGTGGGCCAATACAGTGAGCTCGCTCAACCGCACATGGATAACGCAGACCTAGTTGTTCCGGGATGGACATTACACAAATAGTAGCAAGCATAGAGGGAATATATGTTTCAGGCAGGCCTATAATGTGCAGGTTCTTGCGCCATGAACGGTTTTCAAGATCGTCTACCTTTTTTTGTAACTCCCTTTGAACGGATGTAAGTCTTGCCACCGCAGCCTAAAGAGTAATCTTCAATGGAGCAGATTCATTCTTCCACTTGAGTAATGTGCTGAGCCTGAACATGGAGTTCTTTGTGGAGCTGTTCTAAGCCTTTAAGAACCGCAATGTCTACAGCTGCTGTAAGGGGAGCAGTGACATAAGTGCCTGGGCTATGCCTGCTGGGGAAGCAGTGTCCGGAGGCTGAGATGGAGAGAGTTGTGATTGTGCACTGAGATTCTGGTCCCCTGTGTGAGTATGTGCTGGAGTTGCACCGCCATCTTGACTGCAGCGGCCGCTGTGTCCCCTTGTGACAGGCGAGGGGAGGTGACCCCCTGGTCTGCGGCAGGATTCTAGGGCACAGTGGAGGAAAGTTGGGGGAGTGCTGTGCCTTCACCCCCTCTCCATGTGGCGCCGGAACCGGAAGTGTTCTATTAGTTTTAACAACCTTCTTTTAGATTTTAATTACGAACATGATTGAATAAATTGTAAATTTGTTTGTGTACATCTTTGAAATATATATTCGGTTGTATTAAGCTATTTGATTGTTTTTGCAATTGAACATTTGCCAAATTACGGTTGTTTTATTGCCAGTATTAGTGTGGGTCCAGTACTATGCTTCTGCTTGGGGATTTTGAATTCAACACCATGATGAGTTCTTGTTAGGTACTGTATGTGGCTCTTGATATGCATAGTCAGCAGCAGCCTCAGAGATTTATTTGATCTCAGTAATAATTACCAAAATGTTATGCATCAACAAGCAAGGAATGCACAAAACAGTACAAGATTGTATTTGTATTGGTTGTTCCCAGATGCATTCATGTACACTGTCACATACACACAATCAGCCTTTTGAGTGATCATGATTCTTTATTTAGTCACCATATAACTAATGTATTTTGTTACATATATGTATATGTCTTTAACCCCTTCATAATGAAGGGAAAACAAAATCCTTTGACATGTGTTAGTAAAATTTTTACATATCATTGCAATGTATCCAGGTGAATTATACATTATTTTTTCAGGACAAATTGGGCTTTAATTTGGTTGTAAATGGAAGTTGATATCTCCTGATCCTCTTTACCCTTAGGAGCATGGGTGGTAGTCGTTGACTGTTGCTGATGAGGACAGACATGACAGCGATAGCCATGACTAGGGTGGACAATGGTTGACTGTCCCTACTGTGTGGAGAATATATATTGTATGTGTTCCATAATGCATAGGGAGGAGTTTGATGATTCACAATCTAGAAGCATTTCCTTAATTCACTTGTGTTCTCTTTTGGACAGGATACTAACCAGGATGGTGTCAGGGAACAAAAGGCAGCAGTTCAAGCAATATGTCTATGTATGCACAAATTGCATCTTTTTTAATGATCGACAAACTCTTGGGCAGTGAGTGAGTTAGTGGGTAGAAGAAGTAAGGAACAAAATGAAGACAGTTAAAGGTAGAGTTTTTGGGGACTGGATGGGAGGATGTTTGTGAGAATGATGAAATAGGTTTGTTTTTCAGCGAGGTGGCAGGAATTGAATTTTAGGTGAGTACATTTCTGTAAGATTTTGCAGGGATTTAGTTTTACACCACAGTTGTTCAAGACCATAGCTATATCTCTTGAGACATCTGCTGTTTTCTGTTTGCAACACTGTAGTGGTTGATGCCTGATTCTTCATATAATGAGGGAAGGAAGAATTTCTAGAGAAGATGAGAGTAAGTTGCTTTAAATGGAGATGGCCAAGTCAGATCAAGATAGGAATGTGTTTTTATTATAGAGGGTCAGTAGTAGAGAATAGAGAAGAGGAGGGTGTAAAAAGTGGCAAAGGTCTTTAAAGGGTAAGTGTTTTCTGGTTGGTGGGATAGGGTTTGGAAGACAGAAAAGAGGAGAAAAAAAAGAGATAGGGAAGTTTAGAAAGTACTTGAAGGTTGCTTTGTGGAGATAGGAGTACACTTCCTCCTCCTTTTGTCCACTGTATTTCAGTGAGACCAATGGATGCCACTGTGGAAGAGGACAGATGGAGAGGCAGAGTCAGTATCCAGAAGCCAGGTTTTGGTAACAGCAATTAGAATAAAGCAGTTGAAAATAAAGATGTCATTGGCCAAGGTGAGTTTGTTACAGATTAAGCAGGCATTCCAGAGGGCACGCGATAAGGAGGGCTGGCTCTTGGAAGCATGGGAATTGAAATTAGACTGTGGGTTGCAGCACGAGCCAGAGGAAGGAGGGTGCTGATTGTGGGGTAGAAAGTTGGTTGGTGGAAGGCCATGGTTAAGAAAGCTTTCTCCAGAGGTTAAGGGAGGTGCAATGGGAGTGACATTTATATGAGGGCACTTGTTACGGTGTCTTGGAGGTTATGACATTGTGTGTGTTCAGAAAGGGCAGTAGGGGATTAGTGCAGTAGTAGGTTTTATTTTTTTATGAATTAACTATTGTCAGTGTAAACTGAAATAACCGTTTTCTGTAAGAATCCAGTGTAAATATTGATAAAATTTGTTAGTTGCTGTCAACTTTATGAAACCTTAACACATTTTTGTGTAAGGAAATATGTGACTGTTTGTCTTGGTTTATAGAATTGGTATATAGAGTGTTTTGCACCTACAGTTTTCTAAAACTGAACACTTATCTTCTAGGGAATTAAAAAGATTGATACTGCTTTGTACAAGGATTTCCAAAGTCATTACTTCGGAGAGGAGTTTTTGCAACAACTGGATCTGTGCTCAATGTTAAAGAAAAGACAAGCAAATGGTTACTATCACACTGAAGCCTCCATTTTCTTTGGTAAGGAAAATTCAGTCTTTAGCATGTTGTATGAGTGACTATTTGGGGGTTATTTACAAAAACTGCACTGAGGTTGTCCTATCGGTAGTAGAAATTATAATGGTTTTTGGATGGGTTGCCTGCATTCAGGGCTGGCAGTTTTCATGTCAGAGACTTTACACTCTTTCTTTGGCTTCTAAATGAATGGATCTATGATTAAAGCACCTCACCAAGAATTGATTGTCCAGGTATAGATCTATTGCAGTGAAAATTAGGATAAATGATGGAGTAAACACATTTTGAGGGCTTCAAAATCGCCTCCTTTATCAGGGCTTAACAATTATATATGCTACACAGAATGGAGAGTGTGAAAGTACACAGTATTTGTGCCAGCAGCTTGTTAAAGCAGATCTACTGCCCTGCTATTGCTCCTCCACTTCTTTTCTAATAACCTCTACTACACCTGTACTAACTCTTTAATGCACCTGTAATACCTTCTTACCTTCCTGTGCTGCTCTGTTATTGCCACATTTATACTCCTTTATTACTCTCTAGCCACCCACTGCTCCTCTAACACCTTCCTTCTAATCTTCTTTACTACATCACCCCCAATGTGCTCCTTTTCCAAAAACTTCACTGAAGGTCGATTCACCCGCGCATTTCCCCATTGACTGCCAGTACACCCGTGTACTTCTCCACTAAATGAAAAAAAGACATACTATAAGTCCATCTAGTTCAACCCACAGGGAAAAAAAACTGTCCATTCAATGTGAATTCAGCCTAAATGTTTGCTATTGGGTTTATTACCACTTTAGCCAGTCACCCTGCACAAATAGTAAGTCACTGGTCCTTCATGCAGACAATTCCTGATCAAGGCAAAGTGCAGGAGTTGTTCTATCCTGGATCTCTGCACATATCAGGAATATGCACAAATGACACCAAGAATTAACTATGAATACACATCTCTATTGTAGTTTGAAAACATTTGATAATCACAGATTTCTTTAAAGTAGATTGCTTAGCGTACAGTGGATATAAAAGTCTACACCCCTGTTAAAATGTCAGGTTTCTGTGATGTAAAAAAAATGAGACAAAGATAAATCATTTAAGATTTTTTCCACCTTTTAATGTAACCTATAAACTATACAACTCAGCTGAACAACAAACTGAAATCTTTTAGGTGGAGGGAAGTAAAAAATAAAAAACCTAAAATAAGATGGTTGCATAAGTGTGCACACCCTTAAACTAATACTTTGTTGAAACACCTTTTGATTTTATTACAGCACTCAGTCTTTTTGGGTATGAGTCTATCAGCATGGCACATCTTGGCAATATTTGCCCACTTTTCGTTGCAAAAACACTCAATCTGTCAGATTGCAAGGGAATCTCCTGTGCACAGCCCTCTTCAGGTCATCCCACAGATTTACGATCAGATTCAGGTCTGGGGTCTGGCTGGGCCATTTCGAAACTTCAATCTTCTGGTGAAGCCATTCTTTTGTTGATTTGGATGTATGTTTTGGGTCGTTGTCATGCTGAAAGATGAAGTTCCTCTTCATGTTCAGCTTTCTAGCAGAAGCCTGACAATTTTGTGCCATTATTCACTGGTATTTGGAACTGTTCATAATTCCCTCTACTTTGACTAATGCCCCAGTTCCATCTGAAGAAAAACAGCCCCAACACATGATGCTGCCACCACCATGCTTCACTGTGGGTATGGTGTTCTTTTGGTGATGTGCAGATTTGTTTTTGCGCCAAACATGTCTTTTGGAATTATGGCCAAAAAGTTCAACCTTGGTTTCATCAGACCATAACACATTTTCCTACATGCTTTTGGGAGACTTCAGATATGTTTTTGCAAAATTTAGCCGGGCTTGGATTTTTTTCTTTATAAGAAAAGGCTTCCATCTTGCCACTCTACCCCATAGCCCAGACATATGAAGAATATGGGAGATTGTTGTCATATGTGCCACACAGCCAGTACTTGCCAGATATCCCTGCAGCTCCTTTAATGTTGCTGTAAGCCTCTTGGCAGCCTTCCAGACCAGTTTTCTTCTCATCTTTTCATCAATTTTGGAGGGACGTCCAGTTCTTGGTAATATCACTTTTGTGCCATATTTTCTCCACTTGGTGATGACTGTCTTCACTGTGTTCCATGGTATATCTAATGCCTTGGAAATTCTTTTGTACCCTTCTCCTGACTGATATCTTTTAACAATGAGATCCCTCTGATGCTTTGGAAGCTCTCTGCAGACCATGGCTTTTGCTGTAGGATGTGGCTAAGAAAATGTCAGGACAGACCTACTAGAACAGCTGGACTTTATTTGAGGCTAATCAGAGGCACTTTAAATGATGGCAGGTGTGTACTGACTCCTATTTAACATGATTTTGAATGTGATTTCTTAATTCTGAACACAGCTACATCCTCAAGTATAAGAGGGTGTGCACACTTATGCAACCACATTATTTTAGTTTTTTATGTTTACTCCCCCCCCCTAAAAGATTTCCGTTTGTTTTTCAATTGAGTTGTACAGTATATAGGTCCCAGTAAAGTTGGAAAACGTTTTGAAATTATTTATCTTTGTCTCTTTTTTTACATCACAAAAACCTGACAGGGTGTGTAAACATTTTGTATATCCACTGTATATTGAGGAACACAGCTTTATTAACAATAAGCAATCCAGGGTTGTAGTAATGTGAAGAATTAAATATAAAGTAGGCGCAAGCCTATGTATTGGTATACACTCACTGGACCTCACTTTATTAGGCACATCTGTTCAATTGCTTGATAACACAAATTGCTAATCAGCCAATCACATGGCAGCAACTCAGTGCATTTAGGTATCTAAACGTGGTGAAGACGCTTTGCGGAACTTCAAACCGAGCATCAGAAAGGGGAAGAAAGAGGCTTTAAGGGACTTTGAATGTGGCATGGTTGTTGGTGCCAGATGGGCTGGTCTGAGTATTTAAAAAACTGCTGGTCTACTGGGATTTTCATGCACAACCATCAAGAGAAAATATCCAGTAAGTGGCAGTTGTGAGGACCTAAATGCCTTGTTGATGTTAGTGGAGAATGGGCAGACTGTTTCGAGATGATAAAAAGGTAACAGTAATTCTAATATCCACTTATTACAATCAAGGTATGCAGAATACCATCTCTGAATGTACAACACGTCAAAGCTTGAAGCAGATGGGCTACAGCAGCAGAATACTACACCAGGTACCACTCCTGACAGCTAAGAATAGGAAACGGAGGCTACAATTCACACAGGCTCACCAAAATTGGACAATAGAAGATTGGAAAAATGTTGCCTGGTCTGGTGAGCACCAATTTCCCTAGAGATGATTGTGCGTGAAAATCCCAGTAGATCAGCAGTTTTTGAAACACTCAGAGCAGCCCGTCTGGCACCTGCAACCATGGCACGTTCAAAGTTAGTTAAATCCCCTTTTTGCCCCATTCTGATGCTCTGTTTGAACTTCAGTAAGTCATCTTCACCAAATCTAGATGCCCAAATGCATTAAGTTGCTGCCATATGATTGGTTGATTAGCAATTAGTATTGTTAAGAGATGACAGATCTTTAGGACAACGTGCTCCACCATGTGCAAATATAGGTAAATTACTCGCTCACCAGATTCCTAAGGCCAATAATGTAGCCTGCAGGATGTGGGATCACCATATTCAGTCCAACCTTGGATGCAACTGAGTAGCTCTAATCCATCCAAAACACAAAACTGGAATGGAAAACCCAGAAAGGATACTTGTAGCTGAGGGCAGAAATATATTTTTTGTTTTCTTTTGTGGAAATCAACAATGTGAAAAGCAGTCAGCTTTTCTGTAATTATTCTGTGAGTTCCTGGGCCCTGCAGAGGTTGGGAGGTAAGGTTGATCTCAGCGGTAGGCACAGTCAGCATGATGTCCTGTGGCTGGACAGGGCCAGACGTACAGGTACCAGTTGTGTGCTAGTCTTGACTGGGTTCAAAATACAGTATAATTTCCCTATGCTGGGGGAAAGTGGCAGTTTTTTTTCTTAGCTTTCCCCAGTGATGGATACAGGGGAACTGGTGTCTGGGTCTGTGTTGCTGTGCTGTGTGAGGCTCTGAGCTATTGCCAGACCCCCGCAGACCCCTTCCAAGAGCCCATGGACTTATCCCTGTCTGCCTGGATCTCTTCCCTGTTCTAGATTAACCCTGTTCTGGCCAGAACCTTTGCCCTGTGTGCTGGATTAACCCTTCTCTGTCCGGAATTTTTGCTCTGTGTGCTGGACTGAATGTTCTAGATGTGTGTTTACCACCCCCCTTCCTTTCCTGAATAAATACATACAGATCAGTACAGATTGCTCCTGTATTTGTTTATCACTGGAGTATAGTAAACAGTACTAGACTCCAGTTTAAGAATGGATAGGAGTCTCTATGCAGAGACTTCTATTCATTCATATGAAGTGGAACTGTGGCTGCAGAGAAAGGGACTGAGACTAGATCCCAGATATCTCACCAAAGCCCTCCACCCACCCCCTACACACACACACACACAAAAAAAAAATTTATCCCTCTGACCCTTACCCCCCCCCCCCCTTTTTTCCCCTTTTTTTTTTTCTCCTTCTTTGGCTCTCTAGCTCCTCACCATTTTTTATCCCCTCCGGACTCCTTCCTCATTGTGTCCTGTACTTGCCATTTCTGTCTTTCCTGTATTTCACATCTTCTCTACTTCATTTTTCCTTTTTCTTCCTACACATACGTTTATTTTTCTGTCCATAGGCAACCTAATCTCACACCCAGACTACACTTGCACATGTGCCTCTCCCAATCCACGGAGTTATTTTCCTACGCGTTGGCTACCTTTGAGTGGTACCTTTGTTGCTCCTCGTGGATAGCACCGAGCTTTCTATATCTTCGCAACTTCTTCCTTGCACCAGAAGCCCAGCACCTTTAGCCCTCTCCCCTTCCCCCCTACTCTGCTACTCTACGATAAAAG